GGATATGCACAGGAGGTTGTGAAGCATGCTCAGTTGTGGGGTTTTCTTTAAGTGGCAAGAACACAGTAGCTAATTGAAAGCAGCTTTAACTCTTCAAGAGCTGCTTCAGACCACAGTGTTTGCTAGTCCTGCCCAGATATAAGAATGTGGTTTTATTCTGTATGCAATCAAAGGAAAGTAACCAGAATTCTCAAGCATAAACAGGAAAACATGAAAAAGCCTGCTTATCAATAGAAGCTGTCACCAGAGCACCATATTGAAAAAAGAGTCTATGTGTAAGAGGAAAAAAAACCCCAACTTATGCTAATACTGAAAGTAAAAAAAAAAAAATAAATTAAAAAAAAGAACAACAAAAAAAATCAATCCTACTAAACTCCAGGGTTTTTCAGAGGTGCTGAGCATTTGCAGTCTACAGATAAGATCAGAATTTACATGTCCAGCATTTCTGGAACCAGCCCTAAGACACCTCATGCTAGGTGTACACAATTAAGGACTCAGCATCAGCAGACACAGTTAAAAAACAAGCCCAGATCTGTCTTAACAAACGAATTTTTACTGCTCTTCAAACTTTACCAAAATGGATTAGTTTGACTTAGAACTGGATTAAATCCCACTGAAAATGACTGATCTGGAACAATGACCTTTCACTGTAGAACATAACATGAAAGACTTTGGGATAAGACTAATGAAGTGCAGAGATAAAACAAAATGCCTTTGCCAACATTTTCAAAAGCAGCCTCTTATTCTGGGTGCCCTACTTGAGTTGCTGCATAAGTGCTCATTTCCTCTGAAAATGAGGCCCTGAGCAAGTTGGGCCAGGCATCCAGAACAAGAGACTGCCTGAAAATACTGGCCTTGAAGTTGTACCTCCTAATGTTTGTCCCAAGTGGGCCTCTGATGTGCCTGTTCAGTAACTGTGATAGCTAGGGGAACTGCCAATGGGACTGACTGAAAGCAGGGAAAGCTGCTTCTTATGTCATTAATCCTATCTAGCACTGTAGTGGATTAGTTCAGAGAAGTTTTTCCACTGGTAGCTGCCATGCAGGTCCTCCATACGGCCATTTTTGTACCACACTTCTAACTTAGAACTACCGATTCTGAGCAACAGCTCAGTCTCTGACCTTGTCAGTCTTAGGCCTGTCTGTCGAACTGCCAAGAGGAAAGCTGCCTCTAGCAGCACTGCTGGGAAATACAGCTGCCTGCCTATTGGGAGAACGTCCCTCTCAGCTCGGACAGCTAAGTAACAGAACTTCTGAAAGTGCTTCTAAATTTCCATCCCCTCTCTGTGATCAATTATTCTTTGGGCCCTTATCTGCATTTTGAGATAAAAATGGCTTCCTTTTTTCTATCTAGCGCAAGCTCCTTCCTTTGATAGGCCATGCCATGTTGAGGAGGAGGAATGACAACAGCAGGTACAGCACATTCAGCTCAGGGCAGGTCACCCACATGCTCAGAGTGCTTCTAATTACAGCTCCAAGGAAGAACAACATAAACACATCCAGAGCTTGCTACATATGGTAGGGTAGGGAAACCAGAACATGACTGGATGCAAATCACACCTAGGAAATGAGAACAAGCTAGGACACAAACTGAACAATTCAAATGTTAGACCAATGTGAATACAGTATGAAGAACACCATTACGCTGTCCTTCGATGACTAATTCCACCTAGCAGCACAGGTGGAGAAGGCCAAATGCTAAGTAAACATCACTGGCATTCAGCAGAGATTCACTTGATCTCTTCCTCTACTGCACAGCTATGCATCCCATCTGTTCTAGCTCATGGATGGGGAAGCAGCAGCCTACCTCTGAACCCTGCTCAGCCACCTGTGACTCAGCATTGTCAAGTCCTGTGAGATCATCCATAGGCACAGCTTGCAAATTCTTGTCCAAATGCAATTACCTCCTCAAAAGTGTTTTGTGCAGATTCAATACCCAGGTGGCACAGGGTAAAGATGCTAGTGGTCCAGAATATACTGTACTTCAACCACTTGACTTTACATCTCTTAAAGAGAAATACTTTTTAATTTGCTGGATTTCACATATCAAGCTTTGAATTATCTAATGTAAGTTTCCAGAAAAGTAATAAGTTATTTCATCTGGGAAATGACCTAGAAAATTCAATTGTCCTCCAGAGAACAACTGTGCCAAATTTGGAAATGAAATTCATCAAGTGAAGTGCAACAGAAAAAGCTTTAATTCTGCTTTAGCTGCAAAGCCTTTTTCAGATTTAAGTTCAGTAAAGACACTTGTCATTCTAGCACTCCTTAGGAATCCTGGTGAATTGATCCTTTTCTTTTTAATTAAAAAGTCAAAACAACTGTGTTATTGAACTATTAAAAAGCTTACAAGGCCTTAGGACACTGATATTGTTAAGATGGTAGAACAAAGGTCAGTTATTTCCAAAACCTAAATACTTGCACTCCCTAGCATGGGTTGTTTTCTTAGAAAATAATCTACTTAATTTTGAATGACAGGTACCTAAAATTTCTATACAGGTGGAGTAGTGTTAATCTAATCTTTATCATCTTCCCTGGCAGGGAACAGCACTAAATATTTGAGAGGAGGTGAAATATGTCTCATTGTGAGAGGCATCATTCCTCTTTACTCCAATACATCAATCTTCAACAGCAGGGAAATGGAACCACCCTGGCTTTCATCCACATGTATCACATACCATTGACTAGCTAAATCATAGTAATCGCAGTGACATGACATATCATTAGGGGTGAGAATTAAAGTACCTTATTTGGGATCTCATACAAAAATCGATCAAGACCCAGTGTAAATTTTGCTATCGGGCTGCTGCTTCTGCATGAAAGCCGTTTCGCTGTTTGGCACACGGCAGCGCCTTGTTTTCTTTCCACCACAGGCCGCAGAGAAGACGCAGCTCTTCACCACCACAGCTCAAACGCCTAGAAAACGGATTTTACGCAGCGTGGCTGGGATCGCGGTACCTTTCGCCTACCAGCAGCAGCAGCACCAACGCCGGCTGTAGCTGGCTCCTGCCTCAGAAGAGTTACTTCTCTCCCCTCGCCCGCAGAGCCCTGAGGCTCCCTCAGCGCAGGCGGCCGCGCTCGCTGCCCCTCCCCACCCCGCGCGGGCCGCCAACGGTCGCCGCGCGCGCCCGCCCCGCTGTTGCTACGGCTCGGCGGGAGGCGGCAACCAATCAGGGGACGGCAGGATTATATTTGTCGCTGTTGCTACCGGCGCGGTGGAGCGGCGGACCAATAGGGAGGAAGCAGGAAGGCGGCGCGTGGCCGCCAGAGCGGCGGGAAGAGCGCGTGGCCGTGTTTGTCACAAGCGGCCACCGCGCCGGCCGAGCTGAGAGGGGCGGTGAGGCGGGAGCGGGCTTGTGGGGAAGGGGCGAACGCGTCCCTCACGGGTTTCTGGGAGGCCAGCGGTCACCCGGCACCTTTCCTCGGATCCACCCAAGGCCCCATTGCTGAAGAAAATAAAAAGTGTCAGCGTATGCATAACCCTTCCAGACGCTGCCGTTTTGAACACAAAACCTCTGACAACAAGAAAATGGCCTTCTGTGTGAGATCCACCAAAATAAAGGAAGTATCTGGGTCTCAACACCCACAAGTGTGCCCAGGACAGCTGGTGCTAGGGTTTTAATATATAATTAAATACCACGTGTGAATAATCACACCTTTACCTTGAAAAATGAACCTTGGAGAAAGAGTCATTCATAACCTTTATTTGCTAACTTTATTACAAAAGGTACTGGAGACATCTACTGCCTGTATATCAGGGCTGGAGTTCCAGCAAGGATTACCCCTTTTGCAATACAGATTTAAAAACCAGCAGTAATACTTAGGGGAAAATACCCAGAAGACTGCCCAATGACTTGCAGCATTAGTTTTAAACCTGCATCAAGGGTCTGCTTTGCTGCTCATGCCCCAGTGCTCTCATACGCAATTGTGCTTTTTAGTCTCCAAGAGAAAGGAAACAGGGCTCCTGATCCCTGAGCAGCGTGAGATGAAGGAGTGTAACAGGCAGCCTTGAGGCTGGGTTAAGTAAGGAAAAGTACTGGGCAAATGGAACAGAGTTGCGCATGCTCTCCAGGAGAGCTGCAGTGAAACTGCTTACCCCCGCGGAGTAAGCAGCCGTCAGCCAAACGCAGTATTAGCCCCACACTTCCTACAGCGTGTAGGAAACAGAGTCTGCACAACTCACACTGCTTTACAGGGCACTCGTCCGAATAGGATGTGCTCACCTGCTGCTGCCTGCTGTCAGACTGCTGCAGACCACCTGAAGGGTGACACAATTGCCTTGGCAGTTTCAGTCCATCTAGGTCTGGGGACTGAGAATGGATCAAGAGGGTTCAGCAGCTCCCACCTCCTCCATTCATCCTTCTTTCCCAGGCAGTCTGAGTTGCAGGTAGTATTAAATACCGACAACACTGATATGCTGTCCCCCAGTCCTGCAAGAACATTGACTTTAGCACTGAAAATTCTGCCATGCTCCAGTTCATGTCATCTGTGGCACTACGGAGTATGGGATGCTCCAGAAGCTACACCTAGCAGTACAACAGAAACGCAGGGATAAGAAATAGCAGTATTTACCAGCACTTAGCCAAGACCTTATTTTCCAGGCCTGAGAAAAAGTTAACTAATATCCAACCGCTAGGCAACGTAACTAAATTTTACTCTTTTTGAGTACAGGAGCTTCATTTACCTTCATGATGTAATGAAAGACTCAGATCTGACCAGTGCTATGGGTAGAAATATGTAACTGCCACAGAACCAGTGACTTGCTATTTTTAACATCTACAGTGCAGCTTCAGACTGCTCCAGTAAAAACCTACAATCCACAATGCACCTTTGGTTTCTTCTATCCTTTGCAAAATCCTTAATAAAACTGTAACTAAAACAAACTTTGTAACCATTAGAAAAAGCCTTCATCCTTCTACCTCACTCTTTCTATTCACCTCCATGTCAAACCCCTCATTCATTTAACAAAAAAAAAAGAAAGGAAAAAAAAAAAGGAAAGAATGGGGTGTTTCCTGGAGAAGTGCAGACCACATTGAGCATCTCTGCAGGCAGGTCACATTCGTCCACCAGCTGAGAATTCAAAGAGCAGCCATGCTGCCCAGAACGTGTCACTGGATAATGGGTCAGCAACTGGATCCTCCAGGACCTGAAAGACACAGGAAGGAATCAAAGCTTCACCACATACAATCTTTAATGATGCCGTTGCTCACAGTGGAAGAGCTCCTTTGGGCAGACATGCAGTGGCACAAGATTGTGCGATGGGGGGAAATGTCAGTGGTGAGGGCTGTGTGCATGAAGTGACAAAGTCCTTGTTCCCCTCTAAGTTCAGGACGTGGCTGTAAAAATTACAAGCACAATTAGTCCACAATTCAACTCTTAGTAATTCAGAGAAGAGCAATTCCCTTCCCTTTGCCCAAGGCATTGGCTCCTATAAAAGCAAGTAAAACAGAGGGTAAGACCAGAATGAAATAATTAAGAAGGGAGTGATCACCTGAAGAAGGGAGCTCTGTTCAGGGAGAGAAAGAAATGTCTCCAAAATTAATTAACTTTTATTTGTTTGTTTGCTTGTTTTGTTTTTCTCTCATTTTGGCTCTGCTGGGATGCATTACCTATGAAAAGCAAATTGAAAGTCATGTGTGGACAAAAGGAAGTGTACATCTGCACCCCTGTGGTTCAGACATAGGAACCTAACATCTGCATATTCCTGCAACAAGCCTAGGGCAAGTTGATTCAGCAAGAAAAAGAGTGCTCAGGAAGTCTGTAGAATGCTGTAAGATCATTTACCCATTCCAGCTCTTCCTTTTCCTACAGTGCACATTAAAATATGCAAGAATTGCTTTTCTGAATTCCTGAACCAACTAATTATTACAAACATTTGAAGATGTCCCCTTTTGACATCTGCAGGCATCACATGGTATCTTGCTCCCCAGCCCACATTGCACTGAGTGTCATGTTTCTGTACCATTGCAAAATCAGTGCAAGAATGCAAAACAGCAAAATGAAAACTCTAGCTACAGAGACTGCATGCTCTGGAAATCTTAGAAAAGGCTCATTCATTATTAATGCCCAAAGCTTTCCTGCTCGTCTGGCTCACATTATGGCTGGTAAAAAGGCCACTTTCCAAGATACAGATCTTTATATTGATGCTTTCAAAGGCTCAAAAGAGGTTCTGTTACTGCCCTCAGAGCTGCAGCCGCTTCCTATAATGAGGCCAGCAGATATGGTCTCCTGCTTTTAAAAATCTCTTAAAAAGGTTTTCCCCAGCAGCTTACACTGCAAGAGAAACACAAATGGATAACTGATCAGTAGACCAACACATGTGAAGCCAAAAAATAGCTCAAGGTATAGTTTAGATAGGGCTTTCTTGGGTCCTATTTTTAAGTAACATTTAATTCACAGATGTGCTCCCACCCCCTTGAAAGCACCAGATTTCTAACTTCTATTCTCTACTGCCTTAAAATCACCATGAGAAGGCATGCCGGCTGCATCCAGATCATGGGAGTAACTTCTTTTATCATTTCTTATAACAACACTGCTCTGCTATCAGCCATCTTGGAACAGTGCAAAATCCCTTTTCCTCAGCAATAACACAGACTTGGAAATGAAAATTACATGAAAGATTTTAAGATGTCTGAGAGAGTAGAGTCAAATTCTGCAGAACCCCTCAGAGGGGAGGACCCTCAAGCAGCCATTTTCCTGTCATCTTTTTTCCACAATGCTAGGTGAGTCCTCCATTGCTCAAAATTTAAATGACACTTTGGATCTGCACAGGTTGCTTTGGCTATCGTTTCAATGACACATTTAGTAAAATCAGGGTCTGATAAACAATCCAAGTGGAAAAAACAACAAAAACACCTCTCCTCCTAGCATCTGCTGGATGCTACCCAGGGAATGCTCAGTTTGCTCTGAACTGGATTCTGCTTAGATCAGACATGTTTCATACTAAATACGATTTGAGATTTGACATCTCCTGTGTGAGAGCTACAGCTGGATAGTGTGTATAGGGCTGAGCTCCTTTCTCTGAACATTAGGTGTGTTCTTTTACCTGGCTTTGTCCCAAGGCTTGGCTTTGTTCCATGCAGGGTGCAGAAACAGGTGGGCACTGAGGCTTGCCAAACACAGTCTGACAGGAACTGGAAGAAAATATGATATACAAATGCATTTGTATTTATGCTCTACTCACTACTTACTGTAATGTTTTGCAGCAGGACAAGAGGGGCTGTTGGCAAGACTATTCTTTCAGCAGAGTTCCGTTAAGCTGTCTACAAACCTGCCCCATTTCTCAAAATTGTTATGGCCTGAATATACAGATTCTGCCCTGGGAGGACTAGCCTGACTAGGAGTAGTATAGAGAAATGACATCTCGATTTGCAACTTTCCTTATGCCCTCAGGACACTCTCCATAAACAAGGAGAAGTCTACCAAAATGTGTCTCTCCTGGAACATATTTTAAAAAACACAGATCTTCAGAGTCAAAACAGATAAACATGTGGCTTTAGACATAGCCACAACATTGGCTACGATTCTATTATAGCTTTTCAAGGCTGCCAGTCAAGACTCTGGGGACATAGCTTCCCCCTCTCCTGGGGGCTCTGCCAACATCTCAAAAGAGGTCACAGTCTGCGGGCACTGGGTCAAGTAGGAGACACTGGGTACTTGACAGTGGGATGTTCTCTCCCTTTATCACCAACTCAAAAGTATCTATACTCCAGCAACACTGTCCATACCGCACCCAGAACAGCCCAGGGTATGAAGGGCCACACAGGCCCAGACCAAAGGTGCCAACTAACAGAGCATAGGAAAAAACTACAAGAAACAGGCCAAGTGGTCAAGTTGCCCTTCCTTGGAATACCCTCCAGGTTCCAGCAATCAGTCTTGGGACTCCTCTGCTGGACACTGCATTCAGGCAATTACATGTACTAACGACAAATGGATTCAAGCCCCTGCCCCCCAAGAATTGGTCTCATCCTTTCTCATAGCCCACTTGCACTGACAGGCACAATGCCCTTAGCAACAAATTCTGCAATTTAATTAGGCTACATGCCAAAAAGTAGCCTCCTCATGTGCGTTTTGAACTTGCTATCTGCCAGTGTCAGGGTGCTGGGTTATCCAGAGGGGAGAGCCTAACAAGCAGGAAGATTCCTAGCACTCCAAGCTGGAATCCCAAAAATGCAGGCAGAAGCGGTAAGCTGCAATGAACATCTCAGCACTGATGTTTTCTAAATCAATATGCTGGCTCACAAATGCAGTCTGTCTTGCTCCGTAGAGTTCAGTGTGCTTTTCTGTTTGAAATGGGAGGCATGAGAGAGTTATATTGTGCATGAACCATTAGCTGGGCTACGTTCCACCCGTCCCAACTCGAGGAGTGAGGAGGATACACCACGACTATCTGTAAAAGCGAGCATCTGTTTGGTGTCCACAGGGACTTCCAGTTCGCTAGCTGGATCAAATTCTCCTGTCAGGCAGCAGGAGCAGATGGAGACAGTCAGCTTCCAGCCCGGTTCCCCCTCACACTCCCACCTCACAGTCCTGTAGATCATAAGAGGTTTGGATACAGCCCAAATGCATAGGACCGACTGTAAAAAGCCCATTAAAGAAATCAACAGGAATTGTTCTAAGCTTTCAGGCCAAGTCCTTTCCAAGGAGGCACCTTTAAAAATGAGACAAGCAGATTAAGGGTCCTTTGTCTGACTTGTAGCTCTACCTCTGCACTTACAAAGCAGGGCAGTGAAAGCATAACACTAAGTCCACTCCAGGTGGGTGACCTTGGCTAAATAATTTCCTTCTCTGTGCTTTACTCTTATCTGTAAAGTGGGGATAACTTCACTGCCCTCTCTTTCCAGGATAGCAACACTCATTCCCAGATGAGTGATGCTCATTGCAACATTACTGCTAAAGATGACTCTGGTGACACCATACTTCTCTCTAATCCGGTAACTCTGTTAGAGGGCTCTGCCTGATAACAAAAGTGATCCTCATTCATTGCCATTCACTGAGCAGTGATCTTACCCAAGACTATCCACACAAGGTCTCCCAGCTCTCTAGAGAGAAATTGCAAAAAGGGCCTAGATGAAATTGCAGCCTAAGCATCACTCATTTCTAAAGAGATCGATGTTCCATAGCATTCATGGTATTTTGGGGAGTTCAAGGTTTTGGGGGGAGCTGGACCAGGCCACTAAACAGGGTTTATGAATAGAGTTCAAATAACTATATCCTCACCAGAAGGTGTCAAGGAAGGAGCAAGTCCTGCCCCTGCCAGGAATACGATAAAGGATGTGTGGATTCCTGGCACAACTGACATACCCAACAAGGAGACATTCACCATAGATTTCTGCTACTGGCGGAACATATTTTAAAAATAAACATGAGCTCACTCTAGAGTCAGAACATACAATTTTAAATCCAGCCAAAATGTTGCCAGCAAGCCTCATTGATCTTTCATGACCTTTAGCCACTGTTTAAAACTGTGAATCCTAAAACACAGACTGAGGTGGGTTTACAATGCCCAGACCTGGGCTCTCCCCAGCAATTCAGAGCAAGGAGACTGACACGAATGTGAACTGTAGGCACCAAGCCAACTGGGAAACAGGGGTAAAAGGCAGAAATGTTTTTAGCAGGGAACTGGGAGGTGAAAACCCACTGATCTTTATCTCCAGTGAATCACTGCCTTCCCTTGTTGCTTGACAAGCCACAAAGCCTGTCTGTGCCTCTGCTTCCTCATCTATAAAGTGGGAATAAAACTGCTTCTACCTACCTCTGACATATTATTGACAGTATCAAGCAGAAGGGTTATGAAATGGGGCTACTGCTCCTGCTCTGTCTTGCAGATCAGTAAATTAAAGGAACTTCATAATGTCTGTTTGGCAGTTTTTATTTTTATGTAACATTATGGAAGTTGTATAACATACGGAAGATGGCACAGATTTTTGTTGTTTTGCATTCTGTGAATTTATCTCAAGTCCCAGAGAAAACCGGCAGCCTGAAACATTTGTTACAGGTGGAAAACAGAAAGACAGAACAGTGCCTGTCTTTCTCTCTTCCAATTTGGAAAGCTTGCACTATGGAATAATCTTGTCATGAGATTATGAAGCTACAAAAACTATTTTAGGATTAAGTATGGGCCCTACCAACCCAGCCCACAGCATCAGCTCTCACTGGATCAGTACAGGATGTGATTTTCTGCCAAAAAGAAAAACAGGCAAATAGCTCAGAAGCTAAACCTGCTTTAAAGAGAGGGGTTCATGTCTTTTCTGATGAGGCTGGCCCCGAATCTCCAATGTGCCACCACCGTAAAACACATATACATTTATACAGCTTTTCCTATTTTCACTGCACAGATGTAAGTATCTGCAAAATATGATGGACACAAGGAGAGTCAGGCCCCTGGAATGAGATGCATCACTACACTCTTTCTGCAACCCTCTTCAACGCAGGGATCAGGACAAGGCTAGATCCACAGCATCACTGTTATTCCTGCCTTTAAGAAGCCCAGTGCTTTCCACTACTTTACCTGTGGGGAAGAATAGATTCCAGAGTCCCTAGCTGTCCTTCTCTAAGGATGAAGCTTTCAACCTCTAAATCTGACTGCTGACTGAGTCTTCCTGAACTGGCCTCAATACAGCCACCTTGAGGGACTCTGCTCAAGGGAGCTCTGATACCTGCTGAAATAAATGCTCGTATTAAAGACAATTACAGATAACATGACCCCAACCTCTGACCTAGCTATTCCTCCCCTCCTTGCTCCACATTCACCAGCGTCTGGGTGAATGGCAGTCACAGCACTTTCTGTTCCGTGGACCTACAGCAAAAGCAGGCGGACATCACTTATGTATCCTATCAAGGCTATTCTGAAGAACAGGGAGAAGAAAAGAGATGGTGGGAATGCTGAACAAGACTGGACAGGAAGGAAACAGAGGAGAGAGAAAGAATAGCAGGAAGGAGGAAGGAAACTGAGAATGTGTTGCTGAAGACAAGCACCATGTCACAGTTAAAAAGTTCCCAGCCTCTGCTCAGGCAATCTCTTAAGAATGACAGGCATTTAAAAAAACCAAAGCTTGCTAATTGACAAGATGAGCACACAACACCTGAAGGGAATCTTCCAATGGAAATGCTAAAAGAAATCCACCTTGCTGGAAAAGTACTATCTTACAGAAGCAGTTACTGTTTAAGCAAAAGAGTAAGTAAGAATGTCCGTTTCAATGCCTTAAATCAACAGGTTTTCTTCATTGAGCTACTATGGGAGCAGAACTCCAGAGCTCAAGATAAGCCCTGCTCCCATTTGTCATGACATTGGAAAGCCACATAAGTGAGCAAGAGTATTTACAACAAAGGCAAGAGAAGCTTGAAAATTCTTAAGGTCAACGATCTGGGTGCAGTTTTACTAACCTTCTATACTTGGGGTCCACATCGAACCAGAGACTCCTCTGGCGCTGCAAGGGGCCTGCCACATGGCCAGCCGTTCATCTGGGAAGGTAAGGGACCCACAAGAGCACAGGACAAAGTTATCCAGCTGGGGGCTGGCATCAGAACTGCTTGCTACTTCTCTGGGCTGCAGGACAGCAGAGTTAAAGCACGTTCCTGGTTCCAGCATAGCCTCAGTGCAAAAAGCTACAGGCTGTTTAGTGTTGTGAATGGTCCTTCCTTCATACAGCCCACTGCTCTGCATAAAGCTGTAATGATGGAGAAAACAAATCAGCCAGACATACTGCTTTGCAAAGAGGGAGGATGCCCCCAGCTAAAGCTTCGAATCCTGCCCTTGACAGCTGAGAGATAACTGCTAGATGCTCTGACTGCCTGATGCTGGGCATGGACCATTCCCATCTATGGAGTCACAACTCCTAAGTGATGTCCCCTGGGAACTGACATGAAAGTCAGTTCCATGAACAAGTTTAAAGGTTGCTTCATCTCTGAACTGTCACTTTAAAGACCTTTTCATACATCACCTGGATTCCAGCATCTTTAAATAAGTTCCTTCAGGAGGCTTATCCAGATCTGCAGCTGACTGCTCCCACCCTGGGTCACAGGGCACAAGGGTTATCTCCATTTGCTCAGAGCCGATGCCTACACAAGATCCATCTGAAAGGTGCAGGCCGGGCAGGTGAAGGAACACTAGTTACTCCAAAAAGCAATGAAACAAGTATAATTTGCCAAATGTAGCAAGACCCTCTTATTCCCCGTGACTGAAGTTTGGTCAAGATTCTGTGAAAGAGCATGGAAATACTGGGTTTTACTGGAGTACTGCCCTGATACCAGAATCTGAGAGCTAAAACCTGCTGCCTCCCATATACTTGCTTTCATTTGGTGCCCCTTCTGAGATGGGCATCTCTTCACCTGTCTTTGCACAGGCATTATAAATGTTCGCTCCTTCGATGGAGTGATAGTCTCTAGCCAAACAATGAGGCACTCCACTGAAGTAGAATCCTCCAGTGTCCACTCGATCCATCAGCATATAGATGCTGTTCTGGAGAAGGAGTATCCTTCCCTTCCTGAGGGAATTTAAAATTGGTTTTCAGCTTTCTGGACCACACCCTAAGCCCATTAGGAAGAGACGAACCTTCAGTTTGTGAAATGTAGGATCCTTTAACCTGCTGCTCCTTTGTGTGGTAAGTCAAAGCCCTCTCAGGACATGAGCTGTTGAGCTTTTCTGTACGAGGGAGGCAGGATTTTTGACGTCGTCGATAATTTGCAAACCAATTATAGACCTGTGTTGGCTGCAGGTTCGTGTCCCGAGCCAATCCTTCCTGCAAACCCAGGTGTAGGGAGAGATCAATGGAAAAAGAATAAACCACATCCGAATAATCAGGCTTTTCCCTTCAGTTCCAAAAGCAGCCCAGCAAAAGAGCTTTCAAACCCAAGGACATTTGTTCACTAGGTCTCCGATAAGTCTATGTGGATCTCATCGAGATCAATTTATAAACTCAGAAGAGTTGTTGGAAAACACACTCCACCCTGCTCCCCTAGTCAATTTGTTTGCCAAAGGAAACCATATACTGCTATTTTATATTGCTGTTTTTAAATGTAAAACCTCACCAAAGCATGCTCTTCCCACAGAACGACAGCTTCACATCACTAACATGACACTAATGCATTTACCACATTAAATAGTTTTCACAAACTGTGAGCAGTATAAACATCTGTATCATGTTCACAGAAGAATTTCTGCTGTATTAAACTGTTAAATAATAGATCACATAAGTGGGAATACATAAGTATTGGGAAAGTAATGCATAAGTGATCATTGTATCCTGACCTTTTATCATGCAACCTCATTATGCTCCCAATTCAGACTGTTTTTTTAAAATGAAAATTTGGAAGTTGTTGCTGCTTTGTGGAGAAAGTAAGAAATAAACCATCTTCACATTGCAGAACTACTCCCCAGGCCATTCTGCCTCATATAAGAAGGGTGTTAGAAAAATTGAGCACCACAGAGGCAGACTTTAAAGTCTGAAGCCTTCAACTTGCAAGGTAGTAATCAACAAGGATTACTAAATTAGTTTCACATGTCACTTTCATTACAAATACATCCCTGTCCAAATAAGGTAGATACATGCATACATCAACACAGCCTATCACGTTTTCAAACTCTGTGAATTTAATGTGATAAGTCAGTACAAAACATACTCTGGTAAGCAAACTGCAATATTGTACAGGCTATAACTCATTCAAGTCAGAACTATTTATCACTGTAATACAGCTCTTCTGAGTGATGGTTGTTTTGCTGCCTATGCTCAATCACTACATAATTAGAATGGTTAACAGCCCGGTGAGGAACTTATTTCCCCTGATCTATTAGTCCAAAGCAAGTGAAATTACTTAGTGTGAACTTGAAGATTTTTTTAAAGAAATCTTTAGGAAAAGATCAAATATGGGAAATCACAGCCTCACTGGGGCTTCTGAAAGCAAGAATTTAGAATGAAACCAGGTATAGAACCCCGATCACAGAGTTCTGCTTTTCTATGACTAAGAGACTTGATTGAAAGTAGCAAATCCCTACCCGCTGTTTCTTGTTTGGATTTGTTGTCACCTCTGCAGCAAACCTGCGCAGTTGCTGGCGTACTTCATCTGAATAGTTTCGGTTCTTCAAACCTTCAGGACAAAGGGAAATAGGTGGAGGATTCCTGTACACAGGAGAAAACAGGATTAAAAAGGACCCAAAAAGAGTCATTCACATTCATGGGAATTTTCTCACATTGCCACAAGTGGTCAAAGTGCCAAGAAAAACCTAGCTCCAAGCAGCAGCCATCCTGAGATGCAAAAACAGCCCCTGCATCTGCTAACTACAGCAGAGAAAAAAATTTCCATTTCCCCACACCATGGTACCTCTTCCTGCAACGGAATTTCTGCAGTGGTGTCAGAAAATCCGTGTGGTGTTTCTCCATAACCCTCTGGTAGTGAATCTCATGCCAAAGTTGCACCAGCTCCTCCTTCTCTTCAGCCTTGCAATACTAAAACAAAACAGTATGTAAGCAAACTCTTTCCAGGTAGTCAGTCAGGCTCCCTATGAAGTAGGAGAAAACCCTCAACAACTAGAAACTTACTCAGAGATTCTTACTGGTTTGACAAAGCTAGTAGCATTATCCAAGTATATGGCTCGCTGTACTTTCTCTAATGTACACAGGGAGCTGCCTGCCTAATTCCTTCTTTTCCCCTGGTGAAAAGGGCTACATTACCAGATCTAGAGAACAAAATCCCTCACCTTGAGTGGTGCCCTCCAGCCTTCCTCATATCTTCCCACCCTGGTAAGCCCTCTAAACTTGGCCTCCCTAAGGCTTTTATGTCCTGAGCCTTAAGTTTGTGGAAAAACTCCAAGAACCACCACACTAGAGAACAAAAATCCTGCTTTCACAAACTACAATCAACCCCCTAATCACCCAATTACCTTCTTCACCTTGGCTGATGGAGAGTAACCACCTACAGCAAAGGCTTTATCCTGTGTTTCAGGTCAACCAACACACAGGTATCACCTTCCACAGCCGTACGCCAGCTGGAAATGCTCCACGTGCTGCAGTTCAGGTACCTCTGCACTAACTACTATTTTTCTAATAATGATTTTTGTCTCCATGAAGAAACAAAGAACACATCCCTACCTCCAGGAGTCTGCAGGCTGTGTCATGCTGCCCATTATGAATATGAACGAACACGCAAGCTCGGACAACATGGATGTTAGTGAGAAAATACATCTTGTGTTTGCATCCCATCATGGCCCCAACCAGCTTCTCCAGACTAGGAGATGAGCTCTGGAGGTCCTGGCAAAGCTGTCCTGCTAGATCCAGCAGCTTGGCAGGTGGGGGGTCCTTGTTTTTATTCCTATTTAACATGGCCATGAACCGCTTCATCCTTACGTCCTGTTGGAAGCTTCTTCTATGCAATGCACAAAGTTGTGGTTAGATAAAAACTATTATCTCCTATTTTTAGCTTCTATGGTATGCTTTTTTGTTGTTTGTTTAAAGGAAAGAAATTCACTGTGCTGTTAAAAGCAGCCCGAGGACCTCAAAACACTTAAAATAAAACCAGACCTAAAGCAGCCCTGAAAGGCTAAAGCCACACCAGGTTTGTAGTTGAGAGAACCGAGCTCAAAAAGACACATTAAACTTGCCCCAAAACTTGGAGACTGAAGGAGGAGGCCAAAGCAGGAGGGCTGCTGTGGGGACCCACACGCTGGGCTGGCCCCAGTCTTCCCCGCTTCGGTCTGTGTGCACAGCTGGGGACACTGGGGTGCTGCAGAGATGCCAGCACCGCCCACCCCCCCCACCTGTGCCTCCAGACCCTCCACTCCTGTTCGGATCAGGTACCCCCATATCCAAATCATGATACGAAGCTTTACATCCTCTGCTCACAGGTTAAAACTACCAGAACATGAAGCCCAGAGACATTCAGGTGAAATTAATGACTTTTTTTTCTCCAAAACGGCATGGGACAGGCCAGGAGCAGCCAGCAGTTACAGCACAGTGTAACTCAAATGACCGTCGGGACTGTTTTTCGCCCATTTTCCTGGGGAAAGGGGGCCGGCGCGATGCCCGGTGGGTCCCCTCGGGGACACCCCACCCCTGGGCCAACTCCAGCCCCACCGGACAAAAGGAGGAAAAGCTGTTAAATACCTGCGAGGTTGAGGAGCACGGACACCCCCGTCCCCTCCGGAGCCCGCCCCGGCTCCCTGGCCCCTTCCTCCCGCGGCGAAGCGCCGGGTCCCGGTACGTGCCCGCCGGGCCCCGGAGGAGGGCGGCGGGGGGTCCTTCCCTCCCTCCCTCCCGCCCCTGCGCAGGGAAAGGCCGGGCTGCGGGACCCTGGGAGCGCAAGGCCAGTGCTGCAGCCAGCCGAAACCTCACCCTTGTCCACGGCCTCCTGCGGGGGAGGGAAGGAGGGAGGGAGCGAAGAGCTTTGGAGCCTTAAAAGCGATCCCGGTTTGCAGGTGCGGAGCCTCTGGTGGCCTCCGGGTCCTTGCACGGGGGGGTGGTGGTGTTGCAGGTCTGCCACTGCAAGCCACCCCCGCCCCCCCCCTTAAATTGCTTTGACAAAGCAACTGCTACCTGCACAGCTACTTCCATAGTAAAATGATGTAGAATAGAAGGCAGCAAGTTGCTTTCATAGTAGAGAGTATTTTTGAAGATGTTAACGGGGATCAGGCGTGCACTGGTAATTTTGACACGCTGAGATGAACTGAATGGAGAGGCATGCAGCTCAAACCCACCTTTTCTAGGTGGGTGCTGTCTAATAGCAGATGAGTCATCCAGACTCGGTTTAGGGGATAAAACTGAAGCAGCAATGATTTTTTCTTGAATCAGGTCTGAACACCACTGTGAATGTGTCAGCCCTCTGCTGACTTCAATTTAGCGAGGACAGATAACAATAGTAACAATCTCGCAGCAGGAGTCAACAGCCCCCCCACGCACAGCGCTCCCGGGTGCAGGTCCTGAACCCGTCCTGAATCCACACTTAAATAACTAGCTCGTGCCCAGGCCATGCGCCATATGCGAGCTTCCTCTGCAAAGACAAAGACTACATACTTGAGCGTAGGCATCTTCGTTTTGCTGCTTGCAGACATATCCTAAAAATCTGGTCATAATCCTCCTTGTTCCTCCAATCGGCAGCATCTCGTGTTCAGTCGCCCCTGAGTTCTCCTTAGGCTTGGATGCTGGCCTTGCAGGACAATAACTGGCTTCTTGCTCCTGCTGCATGACACTGTTCTAGATCCAGAGCTGGAGACAGAAAGTCCTGGATGCTTAAAGGACAAAGCCCCACCACTGAACTTTGAGCATTTCATTATCATGCTGAACATAACCAGCAGTATTTCCTTTTGGCAATTATTCTCCTTTACTCCCCGATTCTGCACTGCTGTCTGGAGTTAGAACAAAACATCAGGTCACTTGATTTTCTGCATTTTTACTTATTTACATGTATGAAATTTAACAAGTGTCTCTCACATTTTATCTTACATATTCACACAATCAGGTACACCTCAAAAGGGAAAGAGGCAGGCTGCTGTCAGGCACATCAGATGCAAACAGCACCAATCATTTCCAATGACTGTAAGCTGCTACCATCACACTCTGTGCTGAATCTAACTGCCCTTGAAACCCACTTGCACTCTCCCTCCTTTTACCTCTGCTCTAACTGAAGTTTTGGCAATCAAAGACTGCAGCTACTTGAAACCAAGCTGAGGTCAGGTGATAGATATTGGCAAGCCAAGAGCTCAGATTCTTTTTCCAAGGGCTTAATCAAATTCTGTTGAATATCAACAGCATTATTGATCAAGTCCTCTTGGAGCCTCAAGATGAATCCAACAGAGAGGCTCTTTTCCAGTTATCCTTCACCTCTACTTCCTTGCCACAAGGTAAAGCTTCTAGCTGTCTCCCTAAGAGATACAAGCCTGTTTCATGGAGCACTAGCATGCATTTTATCTAGACAATCAGTCCAGAACAAAACAAGCCGGCTATCTTTGTTCCAGCAGAAGTCTGTAAAGTCTTTTAGCAACCGATCAGCAAACTTCTCATCCCCAGTGGCACTGGACCGCCACGTTTTCGTCAGCATGGTGTTGTAGGCCCAATTATAGCCAATGCGTTCTTCACAAAACATGTTCTGGTTGGTGGAGCTAGTGGAGTTGCGCCGGCGCCGCTGCTGCCCACAAGAAAATTTCCGCTTGGAATATGGTAGCTGCAAAAACACTGTCCCTGAAGGAAACAGACAGGACTTTAGTCTTAGGCAGACCTAAGTCCCTACAACTGGTAGCTGACTCATTAAATTCTGAAACAGAAACTGGACTGAGTTTCATTTAATTGCCTTTTAGCAAGATAAAATGCGATACACTTTTCCTCCTTCACTTTTACACGCCACCTCTTCCTGCAAATTACAACACTGGGAGAGAGCACACTTAGTCTTGCCTTTCTTTTGGTAGAAGGGAACGAAGCAAAGATGTAGGCTCTGATCCATCTTTCTAACTTTATATCAATTTCCATTCTCTTCTGCAGTTTTCCAAAAGCTGCCTTCCTCATGTCTTAGTAACCCCTCTAAACATACTAAGTTATTTTACTTTAATATGCCATGCATGGAGGTCAGTTAGAAGTGCTGATAGATCACCATTTATGAAAAATAATAATGACAGCAAGTGGATCCTAAGTACTTTATCTCCCACACAGTGTGCATGGGTAGAGATGCATCTACAACTGACCTTAAGCATGAGAACAGAACACTGACTTGTCCCAACACCTTTATCTCCTTCTAGCTTCTAGATACATATTTATTTACACTGCATTTGGAATAAGCTCTGCCTTTTTTTATTTTTTTTTTTTAATTTCTCCATCTCCTGGAAAGAAAAATTTCAAAGACACTATAAAGCAAGATTTCAAACCAATGCCATTGATTAGCAGCAACACTTTGTGCTTTTCATACTGCCTTTCCAGTTTTCTGGTTTGTGTTGGCTGATACACCTACTTGTCATCTGACTAGGGACATAATGAAGACCAACATCACTGGCACAAAACACAAACTGCATGTAAAATGGTTCTTTTGTTTATAATAGCCTCCTCCTTGCCCCAAAGCCTGCCAAGTATTGCTCACCTGTGACATGGATATACTGGGGCTTGTTCTCAGCTGGGAAGTTGAATGCGGAGGCCGAGTATTTATCTTGCACAAATCCAAATCTGGAGAAACAAACACCAGAGAATTAAAAAAATGATAGAGCACCACTCCAGCTAGGATTCCTTCAGCCCAAGGCAGGAGCACCAGGGAAAACCTTCCACTATCACAACGGCTCCCTCTTCTTATGGCCTGAAGGCAAGGGGAAAAGGGATGAAGAGAGCTGAGCTTCTCCAAATACTCTCCGCCCCTGCCAGGCACAGTATGAAAGCTTGTAACTCCACACTGATCTCTGTCCTAACTTGTGACGGAAACAAGAGCACCAGTAGCTCAGTTGGGGAGGGCACTGAGCAATCTCTGACAAAATGGGGCAGCTGCACATGAACGAGGGAAGAGTGATAGTCAAGACAGACATTCCTTGGGTATGTTTCAAGCTGTAACGTCCTTTTTTTCATGCTGGGCAATATTCCACACAGAACTTCAAGCAGCTCACCTGACAGTTCTTTGCTGTTTGTAGAATACTTGACCCTCTCCTGCTTTCTAAGCTAATGAAAGCTTATTTCCAAGCTAAAGTCCATTACAAAAGGCAGTCCCTCTGTCATGAAAAAGACCTTGGCAGCAAGACCATGAAACAAACTGGCAGCTCAAGCACACAGAGGTGTTAGGCTAGGTAGTATGCAAAGTTTCCAACAGTTCCTTCTTAAACTGGGCCCAACCTCCTATGTACCGCTCCCATCCCAGTCTCCTGGCTATTGTCAATCATTGGTCGTCATCCAGTTCAAGACTGTTAAGTACACGTGAAGGAAGTAACTGTCCCTTCTCAGAAAGAAATCTATTTACGGTCTATCCGCTAACTTAGAAAAACAGGGCACCTTCCAAAGGCAATGCCCTCCCTATGAGGAGGGTATGGTTTGCTAATAAGTGACAGGCTGAAACACTATCTACCTGCCCCTTGTACCCACAGAACCACCTCCAGGCATTCTAGTTATATTTTGTCTAATAATCTGCAAGCAGACTTCAGAGAGGCAGATGGCACAGAACCCAGGCGACTCAGGAGTGACTGTTCAGCACAGGTCTTTATCCTACATTATTACCAAGGTAGACATGAACGTTTCAAGTCATTCTGCTCTGTACATACCTGTGTGCTATTGCTTCCTGAAGGAGATGCATACGGTCCCAGTATGTTTCTGGTTCGAAGCCTGAAACAAACAAAAAGGTAACAATCACCTAGTAAAGCCACTTTATTCCTTTATTTTTCAAGACTTCAGTTTTCCTCAGAAGACCTCTGTGCACTTTTTTCTAGCCATTTCTTTTAGTCACGTTTTTTCTGTCAGCTGTCCCTTGAATGCCATCTTATTAGAGACGTGACTTATACACTCCAGGAGCAGATTCATCCCTGAATTTAGCTTTTGTGTCTCTTGAGATGAAAGAGAGGAACATAATGAGGTGTGCAGGAAGGGGCAAGGGAGGAGAGTGGGCTGCTGTGTATCACCACAGAGTGGTCTGAAAATACTCAGTTTAAAGTCAGGGGGGCTATGGTGACCTCACAGCATATGGATTTGTCACTGATTGTTCTACATTTACACCTGGACACCGGGTCAAACATTAATGAAAATAAAGAAAACCATCATCTTTACCATTTTAAAACAGAGCCTTTTACTAATTGTCCCTTCTCATGATGCAATTTTGTCTCTCCCTGCATGGGGGCAAAGTTCTCCGATCTTTGAGCTTCCACCTGAGACCTACCACAACAGCATCACTCAGAAAGGCGAGGTCACATTGCAGAGAAGGAGATCGCACTTTCTAGCTCTTAATCTCATGTGCAAACACTCTTACCGTGAATGTAACCATGGCAACAAAAAAAAAAAAAGAGGATGGCAGTCATGAAAGCCTAATCTCACTGAGGGGGAGAATAAACAAATGCAGGATACAAATGCAGAGCAGCGGTGGGCACGGTATACCAGCAAAACAGACTTACAGTATAGCATCATGTCAAACAATAACTACTTGATATAGGCTCTATAAGGATATGCAACATTATGGCAACAAAAACCACTGGGGAGACAACCTTTCCTGTGCCTTGGTACTCCTTGCTGCCAACTTCATAACACTGTTGCATGCTGATTAGCCTGCTGGCACAGCCTCCTCTGATCACCACCTATCTGAGGATGGCTGCTGAGAGGTAGAAACGGGCCCTTCATCCAGCTAATGCATGTCTGGTAAATGACATTCTTCACGTCAGCTACACACCAGAAGGGACCTGCTTGCAGAAAAGTATACGAAGGGGTAAACCAAAGAACATTTCTTACCGTCAAACAAATGCTCACTACCCTCCTTCAACAAGCAGCTAACATTGAGTGGGATGAACAACTGAGCTCGAAGTGGGTCTCCGTATAAGTAACTGGGCAAAGCAAATGGGCCTTCCAAGACTGGAACTAGCAAGAAACCACAGGATGTGGCTTTCCGATGCCAACCCTGAACCTGAGAAAAGATTCAAACAATGAATCATACAACATATGCCGAACTGAAGAAGGGCACTTACGTGCATAGGAGCAACTTATTCCCCAAGAATAGATCAGACATGCTCAATTCTCCACAGGCTCAGCTTGCTTTGCATGGCAAGCACACAAGCGTCCTTGTAAGCAAAGCAGTACAAGCACAAGACATCAGGCTTTCCTTTCTGAAGTGCCACATCGATCAGAAAGCACTTTAAAATAGGACATTTTTCAGGAATTGATTCAGCCTACTTATCATTAGTGGCTAAGCACTGCTGCTTTACTGGAACAGTGCAATAGATTTTAAACAAAAGCAAAAATAATCACCTAGTGCTATCTGGCTGGGTGGGGTAAAACCTGGTGTTAAATAATTTGAATTTTACAGAAGCTACAAAGGGGAAAACAAAAAAAATCTAAAATTAAGAAGTGACACAAACCATTTGCATTTTCAATTCAAAATGTTTTCAGCAAGTTAAAAAGAAAACCTAAAAAGTATTACTGAACAGGAAGAACACATTGCCTGGAAAAGCCCTGTCATGAAAGCAATTCCACTGAGATTTAAAGTTTTCAGGTTTGGGGAACAGAAGGAATGCAGTGTGAAATAGATTCTTTTCCAAAGACCCAGCTCAGGGCTTAAGATTTGCCTAAGGGGGACTTAAATTTATCACCTTGACCTGTACTGATCTCTGCATACTGTGCATGAAACCCACTAAAAGCAGAACACTATCCTCCAGACAGAAGGACTATAGAGAGCATGATAAATGATGACCAGATGCAGCAATGCTAACAAGCACTAGTAAAATTACTTATGGAAATAAGGGCAGATCCAACCCACTCTCTCCTAATACTTCCCATGACAGTGTCCCCAGTAGTCTAAGGGATACAAAGGCCAGACGGGCATTGCTGCAGCCACCCAGAACACAAGGACTCTTACCATCTCAAAAAGAACAGCTGCAGTCACTGCCATCCAGTGTAACTTGATTTCAAAGGCAGCATTCAGGGAGAAATTGCCATGGTAATAACAACTGCACCACTCCAAACGGTCAGTGCGGTTATTCACATCCACATCAAGCGTCACTGTCCGTTGCTCAGGCACTGTAGCAGCTACGCAGCCAAGGAATAGGGGTATATTTAAAAGATGCATTAAAGAGAGGGTGGGAGACAGGATGAAGAGAACAGAACAAGACAAGCTATTGGAAATTAATTTGTCCTCCCACTCCTCCCCAAATATTTTTGAGCTAGCAGAATAGTCCCAGAACGCTGCTCGTCCAGATCACAAAGACCTGAGGTACTACTCATATCAGGGGTCTGTGCCACAGAATTACCTCCCCAAGCAGTCAAAAGACATTTCAGCTGCAATAAAGAGACAGAACCAAGAGTCAAGCAGCTAATCAATAAGCGACTGGTGCCATAATTAAATATGGCTAGACAACATCAACTCCTTCATACCCAAGACATTGCAAATTGGTTTTAATATTTCTATACACCCCCACCAGAAATCACAACAGGGTGCTGTTACACAAGGCAGGAGCATTCCAGGACTTTCCACAGCTAGAGGAGATTAGAAGTTAAATTTCTCGTTTCTTTAACCCCATATCAATATCCCACATTACCGCATCGCTAAAACTGCATATCCAACACTTTTTGTAAAAGCATGAGAAGTCAGCCAAGATTCATGCAGCAGCATTACGATCACTGCAATACCTTCTGTTGCTTTGCAGTAAGTGCTGGGATAGTGCCCAAGCTCCAGCTCCCTTTGTGCCCGACACCCCAGCATCCAGGTGAAAGAAAATCTCAGATATCAGGCAAGAGAGGAAGAGAAGCACAGAAAGTGGAAGTGACCTGGCTGGTGTCATATAGCAGACTGCAAGGCCAGGGATAGAACCCAGATCTCCTGACTTTGCCACCAAAGTCCTGCTATGAACCACATTGTCACTTTCAACTTTTCTTTAGGCAAATACAAAATTTAACATTTCTATAATGTTAAAAATTGACACAAAACAAAGGGCTGCAAAAACTACTATTGAAAAACCTTTGCCCTTTTTTTTATTGCATGCATGAAGGATGGATGTTGTTATTTTTTGCTTAAGTAAAGATGTGCACCATTTTATATGGTCAGCTTTTAAATGACCTTATAATTTAATGGCTTAATGGCATTTAAAAAAAAATGGTTGAAGTTCTTCCTCAAGGTAGATGGAAAGTTCCCACCTTCACTTCTATTGCAAGTTAGCTGGAGACAGTTTTCAAAGTTATAAGAAAATCCTTTACACTGCTATTACTGCAGCTTAGGAACAGGAAAAAAAAAAAAAAAAGGAAAAAACCAGTAAAAATGGAAGAACATCACCCAGTTTTGTTTTGTACATAAGATCTATTTTTGTCTTTTGGAAAAATGTATCATTTGCAATTTCTGAGTTGGTCTGGTATTGTCAGAAAGACCAACATCTTGTGATTTTCTTTTTCTTGCTCCTATTCAGTGGAATATCACTGTGAATGCAATGCTTGTCGTTACAAGGTTAAGGTGCCAGTTTTGTAACAAAGTATGTTGGAAAACAACATCCCAAAAGCTGTAAAGCGAAAGCAGCTCAGTCAGCTAGATGTTGGTCATTAGCTAAGAGGTCAGTGATAACACCACAGTCCAGTGTGCCCAAACAAGCACACTGTGAAGAATGAGCTCCCTGCTCCCTTAGACTGTTCCTTTTTCCAGATAATGCAGACTCCCCATTAGGGCTGGAGCTTCTCTCTCCATCTTGCCTGCAGCTGTAATTCACAGGTAAAGCAACAGGAAAACAGTCCAACCAGGTGAGCTAACCAAAAGGACCTTAAAAACTGATGAGAAATATCCATGTGTCTGAATTCAGAAGCTTTAGATTAAAACCAACTTAATTTTAACAGAATAAACTCTGGCTTCCATAGATCTGATTTTAAGAGGACTCACCTGCTTCCCAATTGTCTTGTACCAATGAGTATTTAACTAATGATTTATTGAGTAAATCGGAGAGGAGCAGGCAGGTTATTCTCCAGTCACAGACTACGCTACAATTGCTAGTGCATGCATTGCTATAAATCAAAAGGGACAAGATTAGGTATATCACAGGTCAGACTTCCACTGGGAAGGGAAAGGGGACAATCACTGGGCAAGTGATAGGGGAATTGGGAGGGATAAAGATTTTAGAGATACATGGAGCTTGTTCCAGAGCTCCCAATGCTTGCATGCAATTTTATGTCACAGCCTGACATTTAGGGAAGGTGGGGAGAGGAAGAAATAAAAACCACAACCAAATCAAAGCCAAGAGAGGAACAAATGAAGTCACGTGGACCAGAGGTCATCTGGGTTTAGTAAAGCTTCTTGCCTCAGATGAACTGCTAAAGTTTTTTTTGGAATACTGTTTAGAAGAGGGACAGCACAGAAACATCAATTAAACCAGTTCCTTTGTAAGAAAAAGGTTCCACACTGGATTTTTCTTCAAGAAACTATTATTCCTGGAATAAGCAGACCGCATGTGAGCAATCTGGAGGCATTTTTCATTCATCCAAGGACTGCTAATTAGTTAAATAGCAGAATGGACACGATTCCAACTGAAATGAAAAAGGAGGGCTACAAAGGTGTGTAACTACATCACATCCTGAAGAAATACACTCTTTCCTGACTGGCATTAAAGAAAAGGCAAGAGGGGCACTAAAGCACCCTTTTTTCTTTGCCCATTTCCCTAGGTGCAAGCTTACTGAGTGTCAGTCTTCTCATCTCACAAAAGTGGACAGACATAGAAAAGTAAAGTGGGTTTCTTGGGCTAAACAGTGAGTAAGAGATCAAAGCAGGAACAAGATCTGGCCCAAGCACCTCCAGCCATCACAATACTTTCATGCCAGCCTATGTTCAGGCTTCAGCTCTGGCCAATCATTGACCTAATGAGGTTGGATACTAGCCAAGGCAATGGATTTATCATGTGACAGGGAAAAACATCCTGCATATGTTGGCTTCAGGGAATTAACCACTAATTCAGACTTCCTATCCCTTAACACTTTCTGATGCTGTTCCTCTTCCAACAAGGCTTTCAGAAATACACAAGGATTACTGTAACTTCAGGTTTAAGAGATACTATACCAGCAATAAGTCACTTCTCTTCAGCTGGTCAAATATACAAAACAGGAGAACAGCAGAATTTTCTTTTTATGCTTAACTGATAGGCCTTTAAAAGATGCATCTAAGTAAATCTGAAGTTGCAGTTCCATAGCAATGATTTTTCTCGTAATTTTAAACAGGGAAAGAAGAAAAAAAGCAAGTGACTCAGGCTGGCCTGGAAATGCAACAAAAAGCTGACAAAGCAACACAGTCAGTCATGCAGCCAGTATGTTTCACGGGCTGTTAGTGGCAGTCAGTGTTATACTTCACACATTACAGAACTTCAGTTATTATAATGGTATCTTGGCCAGCAGCAAGATCTTCCATATGCAAACCCTAATGCTTCCACACTGCAGGGATCATTTGTAGCTGGGCTTCCCAGACTGAAATATAAGGAGTCTGGCTATGCATGGATCAGATTAGCTGAGAAACCTCCATCACATCACAGAAAACTTCTAACACATCTGGATCTCACTGTGGCTTTTGCCACTAAGAAGCAGTCAGATGTGTCATTTAAAGTAAAGTTTGGTTGCTTTGCTGTTCTCACAACTTATCACAACTCCATGCTTGTAACAGGTTGTGAAGAGTCTCTCTGGATCTGCAAGGAGACAAAGTCAGTATTTTCCTCTCTGAATTCTAGAGGATGACATGGCAGGGGAGGTCCAGGAACAAGACATGTTTAATACTGTATTCCAGTACTCAGAAGCAGAAATTGCCAGCTCAGCCAGTGAAACACACCTCCAGCATATGAGAACAAGTCCACGTGCAAGACACATGTAAGGCCAGCATGAAATTTGCAGCTTTATTGCTGGTCCACGTGAGATCATACCCTTGGCTGGCTGCTCTTCCCCTTTCAAACTATCCCCTTGAACTTCCCCAGCTGTCACCTGTGCTGTGCATCTACCTAATAGTGCAGCTGCCTGGCTCCGTCCTCCGAAACTGCGGCTAAAGGAACTGTGCCTACTTGCATAGGAGGCTGGGCGGCTGGGCAGCCAGGGCAGGAAAAACGCTGGGATTTCCGAGTGCAGGAGCTCTTCTGCCACAAACGCCACCTCAAACCATTTCCTCTGGAAGGCGGAGAAGTCATCCATGGCAGCTGTGTGCCACATGGCAGGCTGCTGCATGCCCACTGAACAAAAAGCAAGGGGAAGGACAGATTGCAGTTAGAAACAAGTGTTCAAGATTAAGAAAGAGATGTAGTTCTTTCTGAAAAAAAGAAGGAAAAAGAATTAGGTTATGTTGTCTGCAATTTTTTTTAATTCAAATAGGCTGAATTTCTTTTGACTCTCTTTAGAGCAGTGTTTTTGGTTGCTCCCTAAATGCATTTCTGCTGCAGCACCCATAAGAATCAAGTACAGCTAGTGATTATGCGAAGGGATAATGAGGAAAGTCTTGTAATAACACAATGCTGACCTCGGTCTGGTTCTTTGTCCACAACAATCTTGTAAAAATAAAAGCCATAAATAAAGGTTCGTAAAGCTTCTCCAGATGCATGGACAATAAGCTGCTCTTCTAGCATTTTCTGAACAAAAAAAGAGAACAGAGCAAACATGATAAAAAAGGAGAAGTCACTCTTCCAGTTACATGAAAAGGTTGCTAGAGAACATTAGGAAACAATTTTCTTTTTCTTGACATCTTTTTGCCCAGATACGTGCCTAACGAGAATATCAGCAATGTTACCAAGTCCTTATCTCCCTAGGAAATTGTGTTTGACTTTTCCACAGATATCTGGCTTCCTCCCTTACCCTGTTCTGGTTTTATAGATGGATTTATAGGAAGATAAGAGATTGGAAACATTCTAGGTTCTCTGTTAATTGATATGGGATCTCAGCAGAGGAATGAAGTCCAAAACATTTCCAACCTTCTGCCCTGACACAGTTCGACAGAGAAGAAAAAAAATTCACGAACACAAGCAGTGTATCTTGCATAAGGTGTGTATACTTCAGCATCCATAAAAGAGAGGTCATATGCTGTTTTTATTACAACTCCATTAACTAATTATCAGAAGAAAAACAAAACCTAAACCCAAACCAAATCACACTGTAGTGCCTCATAATTCTAACACAATGGAGAGTTCTTAGTAACTACTAGCTAATTGGAGGTTATACACAGAACTGTCATCATATATGAGGTGGAAAAAATAATATGTATTACTGCTGAAGAATACATTGCTGTTTCGTGACAGGGAATCCAAAAAATGTCATCATTACCTCATAGTCTGTTGAACACTGTTTTCAATACCTATCAATAAGAGGATTTTAGTAAGAAACAGAAATTATTGCTACGATTTCCTCTACAATTCTACTTTCGTCACAGAGTGAGGTATTTCTGGCCCTCCATATACCCCTTGATAGTTCTCTTACCTGCATTATGTCAATTGCCATGGCTTGGGTTTGCACACCTTCCACATTATTCACCAGCCAGTGTACAACTTCTGCACTGATGAAACAGTACGGAGAGAGGCCCTTCTGTTCAGAGAGCAGCTGGATCCCTGTGCTGAATCACAGCAAGTCACACACATGTTAACACAGACTGATTGATAGTTCTTCTAAGTTACAAAGACAAAAATCACTGCTGGGGAAAAAAAGGGGGCTAAAGATACATGTCAAGAAACACACCATGCCCCCAGAGTGACATACCATTAGCTTCTGATAACAAGATGAAGAGCTGACATTGACAGCACTTTAGCATCTTACTGAGAATTCTTGCTTTGACAAGATTCTGGGATTCTAATAATTGGAGTCTCTGCAGCAATACTTGTACCTCAATTTCTATAAAATTCCTTGTTGGAGAGGTTGGAATGGAATAACAAAAGGAAGCTTAAAACTCTTCCACAGCTGACATGCGGCTCTCCGTTGAGTGACTCCATGCCTCATGTCCTCTTACAAAACATCGAGACAGATGTTAAGCATATTTATATTAAAAACTTACGTGGGGTGTTTCATGGCTTCAAGAATCTCTATCAAGGTGGAGGAGGAAGTCAGAGTGCTTGCTGAACACTGCTGAGAGCTGGGAAGTAAACAGAAGCATGTTCAAAAGTCAAGGAAGCTGCCAGATTTGTTCAAATATGCCTATTTAAGAAAAATGCTCTCTCCTCTTCCCAACAATGACTTTGCCACATTTATTTCCTTCTTCATCTCAAGAAGGACAACTAAAAGCATCAGACCTGCATTTCCCCCTGAGGTCGTCAGGTCATTGCTATATTGAACCAATGCACACTGTATTACATACAGATGTACTTGGGAGCAATTGAGAGCAAACATTTTGAGGTTGGCTTTTTTTTTTTTTGTTACTGTAATATATAACTGCAAGAAGCAGGTGCTAACATAGTTTATTTTCAATGTTGCTTCCTCCCTGGTGTCTCGCCTCCAGGTTAGAACCTCTTGGATTTCATCAACCTACTCAATCTAACTAGACCTGCAGGGCCCACCCCTTTGCTAAAACAGACAGAAGACAGATGTCAATTCAAAGCCTGGTTTTCTGCTAACTGATTTCAGAAATGGAATTTCTTTGTTCTTCATTTCTTGAGGAATGAAGCTCTTTTTGTGGGTGGGGAAATCAGGCCTTGTGTTAATTTAATTCTGGAAAACTGGGTTGCAAGGCTTATTTTACTACCACTCTTTCTGCATGTGGAAATGCTGCAGTAAGGTCTTGTGACAAGTGCCTTCTAGTGCTGACAGACACAGCACATCTTGTTCTCAGGTTCCTGTTTAAGTGCCCATTCCTTGACACCAGAAAGGGGAATGTAACTGAACAGAACTGCAGTACAGCACTACTGTGCTTTTCTTACCTGCCTTCTGCAACACCAGCTGTGATATATCCTTGGTCTGCAACATTCTGGGAACTTCCCAAGGTCTGTGTGTTGCTCCTATCAGGTAACTGCCCCATGGTTATCAATGTGTTGCCATCAGAGGTTGCAGGAACTGATTGATCTATAGAGACCTGTAAGGAGTAAACACAGCAACATCTTTACGAAATTTATGATGTAATCCATTTCTCATTTTCTCCCCTCCCTGCATCATCTCAAGCTCAAGTTAGTTAACAACAAGCAATACTATAAGGCAAGCACAAGCATAGGCAGAAAGGATAAATACAGTCTTAGTTTTGTCATCACTACAGAACTACTGACAAACACAAAATTCAGACCCCAGTAAGAGGAGGATCACCAACCCAGCAACAACTGTGTTGAGAGAACTACTGGCAAACCAGCAACACCAGTCCCAACCTAACATTTTCAACTTGAGTGAATAACTGTGATTATAATCATACAATGGACAGAACAGGAAACTTAATCACTACAGAAAAGTAGTAAGCCGTTAGAAAAAAATCATTTCAACTCTAACTCTCAGACAAAAATATGCAAATGTATCACACGGAATTCAAGTTTCATAATGCACGAAATCAGCTCATCTTCCTTCCTTTCTTAGGGTAGTATCAGGAGGCTGGTTGGCACCCACCCACACCTATGTTGCCAAGACAACAAGAACACTTTCCTCCCGCAGGAACGCTTGCACTACTCCAACGGTAGACTGAATAGTTCACAAAATTAACATAAAATCATTTCAAAAAGAACATGAATGCTGAAAGATTCAGCAAAGTACAGGCTGTAATTGCCATCTGTCATTAACACGTATGGTTTAGGAAAGGCATCTTATATAAAAGCTAGATAGGTGGGGGAGAGAAACACGAACAGCAGAGTAACTCAGTAACTCAAGCTGGTGTAAATATGAGGGCTGATCTGCCACGATGAATCCACAGCACATGCACAGCTAAAAATCACAAAGCTGGTAGTTTGACTTAGGTCTGATAGCCAGACCAGAGTCCTTTATTTATGTCATTTCTCACATCCCAAAGATCTCTCACTCTGCAACGGCAGATGCCTGTTTTTGGGCAGCCAAAAACGGCAGATGTTCCAATGTGGAATCTACGGTCCCTACAGCCAGCTAAATCCACTCTCCCTTCTCAAAGCTCACTTCAACCAGCAGTATTTTCTATGGACACTGTGTTATTGCTAACTCCTAACCGGTGTTAAGTGTACAAACAAGTTCTGTCACGATGACTCTTTTAAACCAAAATGACACCAATATTTTCAGCCCTCAGTTGTTTAAGAATCTAAGGACACAATTTGACTTGGATCTCCCAGAGCCACCACCTGTCAGTCAAATACCATAGAAGAAATTTAGCAAGAAGGAGATGAGTAAGCTGTTGCCATTTTGTTTAGCAAGGGAAGATGGAAAACAAGCACTTACTGAAACACAAAAAGAGAAGCTTCAGTAGTTGACAAGACAGTACTGCAAAGGACGGTAAGGCAGGGCACATGAACATCCAAAGCACATCACAAACATTGAATGGTGGAAGGAAATAGTCGCATCCACCACCACCAGTCACTTTGTCCTGCTAATGTTGCACATCTCCCTCTCAACGAGCAGATCTGGAAACTAACACAGGTTCCCCACGTGGCAAGCTCAGGACAACAAATGCTTTCCATCACCTCTGTCCAAAAGCCAGAGATGACAACACCCCATTCAAAACTAACCTGTGAGTAGAAGGTTGAAGCTGTACGTGGGCTGCGAACAAAATCCATAAAGAAGGCCCCATCCTGAAGGCATCAGAGGAAGTAGGCCCATTAATGGCAACAGCAACAGGAACAAGGAGTTGAAGAAAAGCAAATACAAGGTTGTGCAAATACGAAATGACCACAGAGAGAAAGTATGAGGAGAATGCAAATCCCAAACAGACCCAGAACATCTGATGCAGCAGAACGCAAAGCATCAGGAGTTACTCACACACATACCCTTACTTTCTCCCTCTGTAACAAGACATTGCTCTTCCTTAGCACAGATGCTTTTCCAAAGTTTTGAAAACCACACTGATCAGAAGCCAATTGAAACTACAGCCTTCCCTCCACACTTCACAGGAGTAAGGCTTGAGCTCTAAATTATGTGGGTTTCCAACCGAAATGCAAAGCTGAATAGTGATACAGAAACCTGTAGAACTGCATGTGTAATGACAAATATCCAAAGGAGAACAGCTTTTTTTTCTAATCTGTCAGTCATTCAAATGATAAAGAAGGAGAGGCAAAGAAGCTCTTTTCAGGAAGCACACTCTTCCTCTCAAATGCAGGTCTGGTACGGTGCAAAGGAAAGGGAAAAAAATTCATCGCAAAGATCTTTCCAACATTGCGTTTAATACTTGATGCAAAATTAAACAGATACTGCCTGTGCTATGTTCCCCACCTACTTGCAATCCCTGGATGAATTTATCCCCGGCTGCTATTCAAAGATGTGTCAAGATTCTCTTACCACATAAGACAATGCAGTGGAACTCAACTAGATTTTCATTCCTTATTTGCAATTCTTTATTCTGTTCCCTAGGCAAAACAGTTTGTCTAGCCTGCAATTAAGATGATGCTTACCCTGATATGTACATATAAAACATTTTCTGGAAAGAATCAACGCCAGGGTTATATGGCTGGCAGTTTACGCAGTGCAGAAACAGAGCCAAGCACCCTGTATCCATAAGGGCAAAAACTTCCCAAACAGATTACGCATTAAGCTAACTCTGTTAAAATCATACTGTACTGCCTAGTAACTGGCTGAAGTGACTTGTCAGTCCTACTCTGAAACAGAGTAAAGGTGGAGCCAGTGGCTCAGGTTTGTTTTGGAATAACTCCAGCACTGCATAGCATCCCAGAAAAGCACTTGCTCCCTTGGCTGCTGACAGAGCACACAGCTGTGACAATTTGTCAGTATTTTGGCTGCAAGGCTCTCAACAGCCAATAGACATAGCCATGCTGGTGAGCCCTAAAGGAGTTGTGTCGTCCTGGGAACGAGGCACACACTTGCTGATGTTTCCCAGTGAGCACAAAGTTGGCTGATAAGGCTACCTGTCCACTGGCACCTTTCTAACAACTGTGAAACATCAATTTGGAGATCCCAATAGCTTCTCTCCCAGTCCCTACGTGTAAATATTTATAGGAGTGTTTACTACTGTAACGTGAAAGGCTTTCAGCTGATAACGCACTCTTCCAGATTCCCTGGTTAGCCCTCCGGAAAGGCTTTTGAATATAGGTACTTTTAAAATTACACAAGATCTCATTTACTTATTTGCAGTTGCTGCTTGCACAAAGTCTGCTACTTTGTTTCCAACACACCAGTGTGCTATTGCTACGGAAGCCCATTTTGCCTTTTTCCCTCTGCCCCACAGAACAACCAGGCACAACATGCTTCTGTTCCGTGTCCTATGTCGAATTTTCACTGGTTTTACTGGTAGAAAGACATATTTACAATTTCTGTATTTAAAGAGGGAAGTTTGATGAAGTTAATTTTCCAAAATGGTAGAAGAGGAGAATGCAAAGCCTGAATTATGATCTGGAAGTTTGCAAACATGCCTCAAGTCAATTTCTGCACCTATTTTTTCCAAGCCTAGCACGACCTGCTCCAGAATCTCATCTGAGTTTTGCAAACACTCTCATTCTACAAATAGGTGTCTATTACTAAGATGACTACGGTTACTCTATCACTTCAACTAGCAATATCCAGGTCTCCAGAGTAACACAACACTTGTCCCTCCCTGGTGGTGGCAGAAAAGGGTGGATGTCAAAACACTAGATGCTAAGAGAAAAACACTGAAAGCGATGGTTAAGTTGGTAGTGGGGAATCTGAGAACTTTTTCTTTGCAATACTTCAACTGTTGAACCCAAAGACAGGTCACACTTGGGGATTGTATCTTCGTTCAGTTCCTTGTTACTTTTGCTGAAAGACCTTCGTGCCAGAATACAGAAAAATATTCAAGTACTTCTGGCTGGACTTAGAGGTGGAGTTTCTGCCCTCCTGGCACTCACAGGACAGTTGACAGGAAGGCTGAGAGACAGCACAGTCTTTTCTTTAAGTGTCTGAAGAAAGCTCCAGGAAGACAGTTTTCTCCAGCCTGGAGTCCAGCCAGTGAAGGAATTACATCTAAATCACTACTCAGGAACACATCCCCTCCTCTAAGCAGATGCAAGTGACTGGAGTTCCTGCTGTTAAAATTCCACTGAAGCCTCACACAGTCACGGTCTAGAGCTTCATTTTGCTCTTAACGACAGCCTTCATACAGATGCAGACAGCGCTGTACTACTAAATCTAAAAATCAAACCCTGACTGAAATGAAATGTGCTACTGGAAAAGGAAATGGACTAATTAACAAATACCACTTAAATTAGCAAAACACAATGAGATAGCATCCCAGGGATTCTCTCTCATTGTCACAGTGTTAAAGAATTGAAGGATGGCTGTGCCCCAACCTCTTCTTACACCCTGGCGCACAAAGCCTTAAGAGCATCCTCGGTCCAGGACCAGTCCTTGCTGGATTAGAGAGTAAGATGTAGCATGACATAGCCATGTGCTTAGAGAAATAACCTTCTATTATTTGACAAATGCTTATGTAAAAACGCTAGCTAAAGACACACCAGAAAGTCTTTACCTTACGAGGGCTGTCCATATAGGTAGGTGTGATAGCAATGCTCCCACTCTCCGAAGGCTGCCCAGAGCTCTTCCCAGAAAGCATTGCTGCTTGCTGCTCCCCCAGTGTCCTAAAACAAAAGGAAGGAACGCAGAGTTTGTTCAAACATACTCTGTGTCAGCTTCCACCTGAAGGCAACTGTTGAAGAGAGGTACTACTGCATTTTCAGACATTTGCTTTCCCACAGTCTGAAGCACAGAGTCAATCCAAAGTTCTGTAAGTACTTTTTACCCCACATAAACAACATGGACACTTGAACTTACTCAGTTTTATTATGCATGTGTAATACTACCTTATTAAAAAAATATTAAAATCTCATATGTATTTAACAGCAACAATGTTTTAAATTGTGTTTACAGCATATCTGGTATTAGTACTCTGAGTTTCTTTGAACCATTCTAGATCAATACTGAGAAAGAACCTCAGAAGTTTCACAGGTATTTGAATAGATGTTATCAGTACAAACAAGCTATTTTCTTTAGGCTCTATTTGTTACCCAGTGTTTATACTGAGACCACTCAACTGGTGTCATGAATTTGTGTACACTTATGTCCCAGCTAAGCTCTTCTTATGTGGATACAACTGTACTGGCAAACCACAAATAGATGACAAATCTGATGTGTAATGGACTGAAATGCTACTTTAAAAGATGCTCCTTCTAAATTACCGGACATTCACTTCTCTAGTCTCCATGTTCCTTTCTAGTCTTTGATATTCATTCTATTAATGGAAACATAACACAAGGAAGTCACTGGAAAACCCCAGTATTTCCCCAGCCGTGCCTGTCACAAGGATACTAAAGAAGCAGGATCCCACATCCCTTTTTGAGGCAAAGTTCCCCAAATCTGCTTTAGCCAGCCCAGGTGGAATACACAGGAAGGATATCCTAGTGCTCTTCACACAGCCTAGTTGTAGAGACTCACTTCTGACTGGCTTCCATCTGCAGCAGAGCTGAGAGTGCTGAGGTTCCTTTCTTCCCAATGGGAGGCCCAGACTGCTCCAGAGAGTGGGTGGGAATTGGACCAGCAATCTGCAAGCCTTTCATGGCAGACCCTTTCTAACAAAGAAAAAATGAAAGCACAGACTTTAGTCAAGCTAGGCTTAACTAGTACGCAAGAACACAACAGCTCACGTCAGCAGGTCTTTAATAGGTACACTTTAAAAAGGGAGTTAAACCACAGGTATACAAGAAATGGAACAGCCTAGTGTCTTGTGTGGATGCTATTCTCAAAATAAAATGGATGTTATTTTGGAAAAGGTGGATTTGCTCTGAAATAGATTATGCCATTCTGCGTGTGAATTGTAAGAGAATTTGATACGCACTGACCAGTTTCTCATCACCCTCTTGAAACTACTGTTCACCAGGAATTCACCCATATGGTTCGCTTTTCACAATTCATTTCCTAAGTCTGCAGCACACAGTCAACCCAGCTAGAAGTTACCAGCTTAACTACCTCACAGATCCCTTTTTATCAATTATCTGCATCATAAAGTGCAATAACACGTCCAGGCTAACCACACCTACAGCACAAAGCAATGCACATTTGCAAAGAGGTGGCATCAGGCTTATAGTAAGAGAACATCAGCTGAGGAAAAAATAGAGCATCAACAGACTAAGGCATGGCTTTGCTATGTAGAAGGGCTTGGCTTCTCATTGAGTGAGCTAACTGTTCTGATTCTGGTTCCAGCCACAGCAGCATGGGATACACATTCCAGGTAAATGTAATTAGTTCAAGAATAGCAAGGTGTTAGCAAGGCCATACTATTTGAAATCTGAAATAGTACATTAGTCAGCACTATGCTTTATGCATGGATTACCCACACATACACACATATACCCTCCAACTTGCTTGGGATTGTCTTAAAGTCTCTCTGCTAATGCTTCATTAGATGGTTCGGATAAAACTCAAACTCAGCTTCTCACCCAACTAAAAGCTGACTCACTCGAATCATTCGATCAGATCGATGGCGTCGACGAATGCGGTTCAAACCCTCCACAAAGCGAATGAATCCATCCAGGAGCTGCCACTCCTCCTCATCAGAACGGGGCTTGTCACCGTACACATCGCAGTGCACTTCTCCTTCCATAATGCGCTTTGTGGCACTGATGCAGGCAGGCAGAAGCAGAAAGCGGGTCCTCCAAAATTTCAGTGACTCAATAAGGCTGAAGGAACATGGAAGACAGGACAGAGTTCAGCACAGTTTCCTATGAAGGATTTTACAGTAAGTAAAATACATATCTATCTGCTGTAAATTTCAGTGAGTAGTGACAATCTCATTCTGCTGTCCCTGAATGAGAACGAGCAGATATGCAAACAAATGCTCAGCAATATGAGTATGACTGTGAAGTATTAAGAAGTTGACAGACAAAAGACAAAACAAGGCTATCTTCAAGGTAATTGTATCATAGAAATACATTTTCTTTTCTGTCAAAGATAGGCTACAACAGCTTTTTCTCTAAAAATAAGCAAAGAAAAAGGAATTTTAAAGGTACACATTAGAGTAGGAAACATTTTGATTGAGACGTGAAAAGAAACAAAGATAGGTTTTGTTGAGAGAAGATATCAAAAAGGATATTGATACTAGTGGAGATATTCCACATTGCTAATAAGAAGCCCTGCTCTGCATAGCTTAGGAGTAGGACTACAGTCAAGCTAAGCCTAGGACTCAAGCAAGCCTTCAACAGATTCAAACTAAATGGAAGTTTTGAGTCAGATCCAGAAATGAGTAAGAAGCCAAGAAAAGCATCTGTGTGGTACAAAATGCCATCGTATTTCTTTGCATTTGTAGCAGAGGAAAAAAAATAGTTTATGCTGAATTCCGCAATCAAGACTTTGTATCAAAGATCAGATAATGCAACAGCAACAGAGTAAGATTTCTACAAGGCAACAGCTGCTAGCACCATACAAGTGAAAGCAGGCCAGTTACTCTCCCTGGAGTATTGAGCATTTGTGGGTTGAACGTGTTGAAGAAATTTTAGGTCAAAAAGGAAAAGAGGCAATTAGGACACAGAACAGTCTGGATGGAAAAGGAGATCTCACCTGAAATCCTCAGAGCCAGCAGAGCAGATATACTGATCCAAGTAATTCCACTTGTACTCTTCTAGTCTCTCATGGGAAAATTCTACCCAGCAAGAGACAAATTCAGAGTCAGAGTGTGACGGGCACAAGCTGTAAGTGTAGTTTATCTGAGCAGATTCGTATGGATACCTAAAAGAGAAGACGCAAACATTAACCTCAGCATCATCAATAGCAGTGCTTCTCTTTCGTCTCCTGAAGACAAAGAAGGTTCTACAGTCTGTTCTTTCAAGCAAGTACAGACAGCTGGAAAAGCATGTTCATCAGAACATTGATAGCAAACAGCTCAGAGATACTCACTTTGGGAGGTATCGAGTCACAGTAATTATTTTGTCTTTTAGTGTTACTTTGTGGAAAGTACGGCCCATACTCAGCCAGTATTGATCTTCTTCCTCAGGTCGATTTCTTGATACAAGACCTAATTGTAAAAAGCAAAACATACCCCCTTTCAGCTTACTGCAATAGTCAGACCTTTGTCAACAAACTGTACCTATAGAAAGAGACTCTAGAATTGGGCTTCTGAACTCAAGACAAACTAAAAGCCATCTTTCAGGCCACCTTTTTAAGGAACATATGCACAATGAGCCTTTTGTTCTTACAGTTAAGATTTCCTACTATCACAACTGAAGAAGGGGGACATTCACAATTCATACATGACAAATATAGACCTTCTCTAGTCAGGACAACTAGAGAACAGTCCATATGAAGTGCTGAGAAACTGGTGGGTATGATGGTAAAGCTGGGCTCCACTTTTGCTTCCTCTCTGTTCTTCATTCCTGGAACTAACCACTTAAGCTCGGCACTTTACCAAAGGAGCCTTGCTGTCTGTTCCCAAACCAGTGAATAACAGTCATATCCTATTCATGTATATTCCCTGCTCTATGAACACTGTATCATGCTGACTTGTCTAGAGAATATCCAGAAAAAAAGGCAGAAGTCAAACAGTAAGTCAGATTCTCTCAAAGGAATATGATACCCTCTTAACCCACTCCAGTCCTCTGGGGTTTAACGAGGTTTAGCTGACTCATGGTTTCAGGACAATGAAGCTTTACTTGTCTACATGGAACCTTCACAGCTATTTTAGAGTTGGGAAACTGCTTCTAGTTGGGAGCTTTAGGTCTGTCTTCTGCAGTCACCATATGAATTGTGTTTAAGATGTATTCCACCAAACGGCACTCAAGCCATATTTCATTTGGGTTCACCATCATGAATGAGGCCAGTTTCTTATTACAGTTCAAAAGTCCTGCACCTGTTCCTTCATGGTGCAGCTGAGTTGTTTGTGCTGCCCCAGATCAGGCTCTCCCCCAGCAAAGATTTTCATATAACAACAACAAAACAACCAAAAAAAAAAAAAAAAGAAAAGAAAGAAAAAAGAACAGAGGGCTTCAATGAGCATCTATGCCCAATTCATAGGGGTTACTGGGACTGGCAGAAGGAGAGAAAGACAAAAGACTGAATTGTCAATACGAAGTCACTCACCTCGACTGTAAAGGGGACTGCTGCTGAGCGGAGGTGGCACAGTTGAGGCTGGTTTCTGTGGTTTGGATTGCACAATAATTTGATAGCCTTGCATGAGACGCTGACAAATAAACTCCTCAAACACCTGTTGGGCTGTCATCTGCACTCCTTCCTCATCTCTCCTGAACACAAAGGTTAAGCAGACTAGAATAAGGAAGCTGACTACACACCTATTCTTAGCTCTGCATTTCCCAATTGAGGATTTATGCCTGCACTGGGCTCTGTGCAAGTGGAGCCCTCTGCCTGTGAAAACCAACCTGCAGGAACAGGAGAGAAAAATGGGTACCTTTCTATTTTCAACAGGTGGTAATTAGCTGTCTGGCAACACTTATTAATGCCTTTAAAAGCAGTTTTGCAACTAGTAACAAATTTGCTTACAACAGTTGTTAAACTTCCAATAAATTCACCAATGATCACTTTTACAGCATTTTGCAGAGAATCTCTGTGCAGTTTGTAAACATTCAGCAGAGCTCAGAATTACAAGTGTGCAGGCAATGCTCCACCTTCTCCCACAGCAGGAAGTCTAGAGCACACAGAGATTAAAAGACACATCACTATGGCATCTTATTACAACTACTTCTGCTCTGAACTTCACCTTCCTGCTATAAAGGGACATCTGACATGTCTTCGTTAATCCTGCTATTTCCTGTGCATTTCAATCACTCTAATATTTTTGTTTTGTTCCCATAAGGCAGCAACGTGAGCAGGTCTTTCTGATGTCTTACAAGTTGTGGCAAGTTTGAAAAGTGTTTAAGAAGATGAGACAGCTTCAGAAAAAAACCAAACCAACCCTATTAAGGAACAGTTACCAGAGACCTCCAAGACAAGCCGAGAAGTTCTACTTATCCCACTAACACTATTTTCCACAAAGATTCTTTAAACTAAAATCCCTGAAAGTGAGGATAAGCATCTTAATCACCGTGTATACACATGCATTTGCTCATTTACTGTTTCCAAAATATTTTCTAGAAAATAGATTAACAAAAATAATAGCTTGAGGTTGATTTTTTTGATTGAAACACAACAGAACAAGAGATGTAAAGTTTTGTACGCAAACAATTTCTAACATAAAATCTGCAGAACACGATACTGTCAGATGGTAACATCAGAAAAGGTGCAAAGTTACCACTGAAAAGAGAAAAATCTAAGTGTTCTGCTGCTAACAATGTTAGCCATTCGTCTTTCTCTTGTACAGTCTCCAAAGTGTTCCTCTTCCATCAACTGCGCCTTAAGCGCTTTGAATCAATGCAAGTTACTTTACAGAGAAGGTGCTGGCCAAACCTGTCAATGTCAGCTTCTGGGAGGAGATCATAGCAACCCTCAGTGTAATCATTCTGCAGACTCTGACGGTCAGGGAAGTAGTCCGTAGTAAGAGGGAGACATGCCGGAGTAGTGAGAGATTTCCAGTCCACTCCAACTGTACAACAGAAGCCTGGCACTACGGGGGGAGCAGACAGCGTCAGAACTGCCTCGTTGTATCATTGGGGGGGGCAGACAATGGGGGTATATATGGTCACCCATGAAAAAACAGGGTGCAGAGGAAGATGAAAGAAATGTGTGAAGAGGAAAGTTAGAATGAGGGACAGAAACAGAGTTGGCATAAAGTCAACAGGGACAAAAAGGGGGTGGAATGGGAAGGGAAAAGGAAAGTAGGACGGGAAGAAGGGAGGGAGAGAAAGAGACAGAGTTTGTTAAACAATGCAGTGCACATGCTAATTCAATCCCATCATGCAAATGGCATTCAAAGTTAATACATTTAATTTTCTCTTGATTGAAAAGCTAGAGCTGACATAGCCGCCACTCTTTCAAAATTACAGCGAGTCAGGTGCAGTTACTCATTATTAATAAAACAGATCAACATTCCAAGTCTGAACAAGACCAGCTTTGCATCCTAGACAACTGCAGAAAGAGCTAGGGATGAGGAGAGAAAGAATGACAGACCAGCCTCTTTCTGGAATAGTACAACAGCAGAAAAGGGAGTATTTCTGTAGTTACAAAAACAGAAGACAGATCCACAGGAGTGGGAAGACCAGAAAAATAGTGACTTGAAAAGCAATCTTTCCCCACACCCTTTCCTAGAGTTATGTTGCAATTTTGAGATTAGAGATCTAAAACTAGACATTAAAAAGCAAAAGCTAACTAAATTATATCAAATCTTCAATTCACTACTGCACTACATTCTAACCTGCCTCAAATGATCTATATGAAGGCACTTGGCCAGCCACTATTTCTTAACATCTTGCCATAGAGATCTTACAGACAGAAAGTTATTTTACTATAAAAATGTTAACATTAATGGCAGGAACACTGTACAAGAATGTAATACAGGACAGACCGCTATAAGGAAAAAAAAAAGTTTTCTTAAGCAGTCACACACTTATTTCTGTATTAGATGAAGACAGATATTTCTCAGTAAATGGTAACAAATTCAGAAACTGACTGTACTACTTCTGCTTCAGTTAGCTGGTGCCAAGTAAATTTTTCCTATTGAGAGGCAGGTAAGAGTTCAGCAGTTTTAGCTTTTTGCATAATAGTGTCTGGTAAGGAAAGAATTTCAGATGTAATACAACAACCGGTTTCATATATTCTTAAGAGATATAGAACTGCAATCACAGTGAGACACACAGTACAGGGAAAACCTGCAAATTACTGCAGGGCAAAATAACATACTGCCAAAAGCCAAGTAGGCTCCTCAGTTTCTCGCCTACCACCTCCTGATGCCTCTATATATGTACATGCCCTTTCCCTCCCTATCTTCCCACCTATGCAAACTCTTTTCCAAACCTTTCTCCTGCTTACTTGGATCTGGAGAGTTAGAGACAGCATCTTCCAAGGAATCCTTGTTCTGAGTTTTGAGGTTCATCCCTACAAGAAAGAAATATGTATTTTATTTTAAGCAATTGTGCACTTCACTTTCATTTCAAATAAAAATAAATCAAAAGCATGCAAATGTTTTAAGAATATGGCATTTTTCTCCTTAGAAAGAACTCAGGGTTCTGCACAGCAGAAAAATACAAAAAGGCAACTAATGAGTAAAAAAAAAAGACATCTTTGATGAAATTTGAGTATCTCATTAGAAGTGTTCAGTAGCTAAAACACAAGCAAAAACAACCTCCCTGAAATGGTGAAACACATCTTGAAAAGCAGATACCATAAAAAAGCAAATAATAAAGAAGAGTCACCTGTAATCATTTAGCTTGCTAATCTCAGGGTCTCAGTAGCTAAGTACTTTTAAATACATCCAGTACTCAAAACCAGGATCTTTTTTATTGGTTTTCTGATTTTATGAGCACAGGATAAGTTAAGAGGAAGAATTTTATAATACACAGGAGCAGCAAGAAAGAAAATTGTAGCAGACTGACTCAGTAGAAGAGAACCCATGCATAAGATTCTAATTATCTAAGACTCTAAAGAGTCTAAGTGATTTATGAAAATCACAACACAGATTTACTCCAATTCCAACATTTTTAGGCATAAACTACCAGTACGCATTCCAGCTCTCTGCCAAGGGGTGGGGAGGAAACAAAACAAACAGTTGATCTTCTTGACTCAGCAAATACAAACTACCTCTTTATCCCTTGCGAGGCTGAAAATTTGAAAAATATTAATTAAGCCTTCAGTTCCCCTAAATAGGTCCAATATATTAACTACAGACTGTTTAAAACTACCATGTTCTCAAAAGGCAGCAACTTCCATTATGTTTCAACCTGCAAGACATACCTTAGTTCACACTTCACTAAAAGAATAGTAAGGAAGTTTTTATTCATTGCGAAGGGAGACAAAATAATAGCTATCGAAGAGGTGCTCAATTTTTGAGCAAAATTCAGTTTATACTAAACTAAGACTAATAACGGACTTAAGACTAATGAAAATTTATGTTCAAGTTTTGATTAGGACTTAAGACACTATGATTTTTCTCACTATCAAATGGATTCATTCTAAGCAGCCCACTAACCTGGAAAACAGATACTAAAACTACAGCTCAGTAAACACCAAGCCAACATGATGCTAGGGTACCCCTTGACCAGTTCTTCCTACTCCCCATTTCACATCTGTCTGCTGTATTTGCACCAGTATTTATGTAGGTACAGTGAAATAATCCATACGGCAAAGAAAAAAAAACCAGTTACTCTTCATTTGGATCAGTTCCCTGAGCTGGTTCACCACGTAGCTGTATAAACAGCTGTTGTGGCACATAAGAGGAAACAAGCAGCTAAGGAGACAAGAAAAATTTCCGGCTTAAAATGCATTTATCAAAATACAAATTTCAGGAAGCCTCCAAATATTTAAAAGAAGCCACTTTTATGAAACTAGTTTATGTAGATTTATCCAAGAAATTGATATCAACATCATAGATGTTACTCTAAATAGCATTTACTAACAGAAAGGATGGTTATCTGCTTCCATGATGATGCCAGTAGAACAGCAGAGGAGCTGGCTCAAATTGGCATTAATCTTTCACCAACTCCGCTGGTGCCATCTGCCATCTAGTTAGGGAATTGCAACGAGATTTATTTGCTCTGAACTATCATCTACCATCTGCTGGACAATAGAGACAACATACTGAATGTCAGCGTAAATAGATGGGGTGATTTTTTCACTGTGAAGCCCATGTTGCAGCAAAACATGCTGTGGGCAGCAGAGGAGAACCAGACGAACTGAAAAAATCATATTTTTGGAAATTTAAAAAAAAACCAACAAAACAAAAAACCCAAACTGTTTCATTTCATAGGTGACTCAAACCATAAGGGAGGAAACATAAGTCAAATCACTGAGTCACAGTGTGGTAGCTACAGATGGCTAAGGGCATTTCTTCAGGGAAGGTGCTCATAACCACTGTCACAAAGACAGACACAGATTAACTTCCACCAAATACGTGATTTATATCCAATCTACAGACACAAAAGACTTCTATAAAATGCAAGCATGTTTATTGCCAGGATATGCTCTGCATCTACGTTGTGCAAATTGTATCCAACAGCTGAAATGCAATTTAGCAATTGGAAGAACAAACAGCTTATCTGGAAGGCAGGGGAAAAAAAAAAAAGTAAAGCAAGAAAATGAAATGTATTCAGATTAAATTCACAGAAGGAAACAACAGCACAAAATCACTTTAAATGAGACTATGTGAACACAAGAAAATTAAGTCTGTTAACTTCTTTATGGCTCTTCAAGGTATGAGCATAGGGGAAAACATAATTGTTTTCATCCAAATGTAATTCAGAAGGGTGAAATTTTTTAAAATAATAAATAATAATAATAATTTAATAATAATAATAATTTTTTTAAAAATAATCTTTGAATTGGTTTTGAAAAAAAGAACAGAAGTCTTGAATGCTATAGTTCAAAAGATCAAATTTTTTTCCATGTGCCTATCTAAAAAACATGTCCGTAAAATTAGGAAGTAGGTTACAAAAAAACAGACAACACAACAGAACGCTTAGTGTGGCATATTGTTCCAATTACAGGATTCAAAAGAAATGTTGAGAATTTCCACTAATTCAGGGGTCTGGGTAAGGTAAGAAAGACAGTGCTAATCTTCAACTGAAAGTACAGACATGTGCCTTCTCTCAAAAACGTGATGAAATATTTCAGGCTATGTGAATAACATTTAGTATAAGCAGCGCCATGTTCAAAATGCCTAAAATCTAGAGAAAGTGCTTTTGTAGATAATGACAAGAAATGCTAGAAAACACTGAATCCCAGAACTTACCACACAAAATAAACGTGCTTTTTTACAGCTTCTCTCAAAACCTAGACAGGATCAAGCTTTATTCTTTCCATCAGCTTGTATATGTAATATACATAGATATTCAAACAAGTTTCTTAATCCAAAGGGTGACACCTTAAGGCAACCCCACCCAGAAAAAGAAGTTCTGAACAATACCGGTGCATATTTAGTTATTTTTTGTGTCTGGATGTCAGTGCTTTGTTATTAAGGAACTAAGCAACTGCCTGAGAGCTTATCATATGTAAACAATAAGCATCCTACTATAGTAAAGTTTATAAGACATACCTAGAGAAGTAGAAACACATTAAACAAACAAACAAAAAGAACCCAAAAAACAACCACCCAACTCAAAAAGCTACCACGCACCAAAAAGTCCAAGTAAGAGCATTAACAGATCACTCAGAGTTGAAAGCTGTTTTTCCATTATTGATTCTTTCTACTTTGTAATGCCTGGCCCGCCCACCTTCCATGACTTCTGGCTCTACTACTTTGTCACTGCTAATAAGGAAGGGCCTTCTCTCCCAACTCCATGCTCTATTATTGCTTTGTTACCTGCACCGTTGCTGCCAGCCAGACCGTTAGAGTACTCTTCTGTTCCGCTGAAGCTCAGGAAAGACGCACTGTCACCTGGATGCCGAGAGCTGATATGCCTAGAGAAAAACAAAATAGCCTGTATTATACAAACTTTCCTCACTCATGCCACTCCTTGCTTTTAATAAGGGCTGATATAACAAATAACAAGTAATCAGCCTGCCATCTCAGCTGAGCCAGTGGTGAAACCATGTTCTTAATGATGTTTGTGGAGATGGTAACAGGCACAAAAGCAGCACAGAGAAGGCCATAACAATATTCCATATCTGCCCATATGTGTTTGGTCTTTGCCTCTAGCAATAACCAATGCACTGTCTTTGCAGGACAGTGGACAACCAGCTACTTGCATACCTCCCAGGAGAGAAATAAAACTTAGCTAGTTATTTACAGAGCTGATTTCATGGTCTACAAAACCAATATTCCAGACTGAGCAAATTGCTTTGGATGAGTACATCATCCACAGAGATGACAAAGAGATCCAGAAAAAGAATTATCAAGAATGACACAAGAGATTGGCGTTAATGACAAGATACTTTACCACACTTGGATGTACTTATGAAGTAATAAAAAGGCAATTTTTTTTTTTTTAAAGTAGAACTAGGGAACAAAGTTGGTGAAGATGATGCAACACAGAAAGAGAATAGAGTATTCTAAAGGACAATACAAAGTATAAGACAGGACAACAATTTCCCTATAAAAGAGAAAAAAAACCCCAATATGAAAGACTAATTAGGCAGTGCAACCCCCTGAAGGAATTCTTGAAGATAGCAGGAAAAAAACATGAAAATTAAAAAGGCAGAGGATACCAGCAGTGTACTCACTCACCCTGGACATCCAGAAACAGTATGTAACATGAATTTCTATAAGCGTACAAGAGGAAAGAAACACATAGCTGGAAAGATACCAAAGTTAATGATGAAAGAAACAAACTCATTGGGAATTCTGAAGTTGCCTAAGCTACAAAATGGTTTTGGTAAACAACATTTAATAATGAGTGAAAAACACAGACAAAATGTTGTCAATAAAAGAATAATCAGATAAAAACCTGATAAGGTAAGGCTATCTGGAGATTGGAGAACAATTGTGCAGCTTGAAAAATGGCCTAGGTGAAGTGAATGATCTAATTTCTCTCACTGTAAAAACAGCCTCCCCACGACTATGCCACATCCAGTAACACTGGGATCTTTTTCTCTTCTTGGAGCCAACAATTAATATAAGCTCCCAACACTGACCAAAGCCTGTTTTTCGAAAGAAAACTAGTTTACGAACACAGGTACTTTCATTTGCAATCCATCCCTGATGTTTATGATGGCTGTATTTCTTATCAGCATGGGGAAGATGGGACTGAATGGATAGCACTGAAATTGCTCAACAGTTACTGTGAGGCAAAGCTATGCCCTGTGCTAAAAAATGTTCTATTCGAGGATGACGGTCACAGCTATTGGGATAATAAGTCAAAATGTAAAGACACAGCAATTTTGAACAATTCCATGAATGATGCATTGTATTGCATGTGCACTGCAAGCCCTATGTGATAAACAACCATCTTCACCAAATTAGGGGAGGTAAACCATCTCCAGCCTTGCCAAAAGAGCTTTATATCTCAAAATAAAAGTATATATTGCATATGTGGCACTGATACAGCGTATTATTCAACTTAAAGATCACAACCTGTAGCTGCCTTACTGTAACATATATAAAATTTTAAGGAAAAGGGATGTTCATGCAAAGTCTACACAGATTGATCCTAAGGACCTCACCTGCCAGTTGCCTCGTGGTAAGCCAGTTCCAGTAGCTCAGCAGAGGAATGCGTCAAATCCTGCTGCCCGTTGCCCTGCATTTCTGCCATATTCTGACGGGTTTGATGATGGATCTGGATAGCTTCTCCTGATGGACCTACACAGTTACAGTTTGATCATTAATCACCACATCTGAATTGATTCCTCAGTTGCTTGTACCCTCCTTTTGTCAACAAATATGCAATGCTAACTAATGGAAATTAAGAAAGCATCTTTATGAACTCTTCAAAGACTTGAACCCCTGGCATCTTCTCTGAAGCCAGCGAAGCAGAATATTCTTCTAAACATTTTGGAGGGCCTACTTACAAGGCACTAAACAAATATGAGAACAATTCAGCACCTGAAAGTCAACCCAAATTAGTGTTACAATTCACTTCAACAGCCTCCATCTACTGTAAGATTGTTCCACAATACCTGATGCTGCAAGTTTGCCAACAGATGGTAATATTTTCAAAAAAAAAAAAGGATCTCTGATTTGTCAAGCTTATACACTTTGTTCAGCCTCTGTTACAGTACAGAGTACTTCAAGACATGAGAGTTCACGTTGGTTCTCTTGTGTTAATGCTTGGACAAGGAAAAAGTAACACCAATCTAATATGCTATGAAACAGACTTACCCACAGGAAAAGTGTGCATCCAGCGCCTCCTGTTAGATGTAAGTTTCATGGGCATGCGAGACGGGGCAAACGGGTTTATCAGTGCTCGCTGGGGTGTATATCCCCCAGGCCGAATGTGCAGCATGGATTCTGCACTGCCAACATGGAACCTCCCAGGGGCACTGGAGTCACGTTGCTGAGATTCCAGCATGTTCTCAAGGACATCTAAAAAATACAACTTAAAGTCAGCATGAGATCATGCGGAAGCCAAGCAAAAGAGAATTAATTGCTTAGGGATATAACGATTGCGCAGGCTAAGTGGGAATAAGGAGAGCTGAGGAGTAGGCAGGGAGAGAAGCTGAAAACAAGTTACAACACAAACAAGAATCCAGACAAGAGAGAGTATTATTTCATCTGCCATTACAGCACTGCTGTATACTGTGTCACTTTATACTAAATGAAGCCATAAAGAAACCACTTGCTAAGTCAACTATGAAGAATTACTCAGAGCTTTGAGAATTCCTGAGAAATCAAGACTGACACACCAGAAACTTCAGGATGAGTTTCGTACGTCAGGAGATGTACAGGCAAAAACATAGCAGAAGCTACAACTGAGCAACATATGCCTTTTTTGTAACATTCAGATTTGACCACTGAAATAAGGGATTACTTCCAGAAGACATGGGACACAATCTCAGCAAGCTAGCAGTTAGTCACTACTATTCAATGTAGAAAAGAAGTGCAGTCATTTAGAAATAGGAGAGAGAAATAAACCAGATGACTAAGTAGCAATTACTCTGTTCAATAAACAGAAATCCCAAAGAGAAGGGTCTCATTTACCACTCTATACTGTCGACTAGAACATGTGAAAACCCTCAGTTATTCTGACTCTTCCCTTCCCACCAGTCCTATTCCACACACATCCCCATCCAGTTGCACACCTTCAGCTGGGTCACAAGGCTATCTTTCGAACTAAAGGAGTAACAGAAATACAAAAAAAAATAGTGTATATTAACTGACAGCAGGAGAAAACATGAAAGGTAAATGTAATGTGAAGTACGCTATGTGATAGCAGTTCCACACCAGTAAATCCAGTTCCTGTAACAGGATGAATATGGTATCAGGTGTCATACAGCATGACATAAAAACCCCATAAAGAGCCTTCAGGGACAGAATTTTACAGAAGACCAAGCAATTGCAGGAGGAATACAATTTACCTAGAAATGAGTTGGGCCTGTAGAAGATACTGCTTACTGTCTGAGAACAAAATTAAACTGGAAGGAGACTGCCAGCACTGCTAACACACCAAGATAGTTCAGCAGTACATTGTCAAAAGGAAGGATCCAGAAAGTGACTCTTAATGACAACAAATCCCTATAGAGAGAAGTTATAAGCAGGGTCTCCCAGGGCTCGTTACTAAGGCCAATTCTCATTTGACAGATTATAGGTGACCTGGATAATAAAAAGTCACTTGTATATGTCCACATTTGCAGGCAGGCACAGGAGAATAGTCAAATATTAAAGAAGGCAATAGACAAGGGAAAAGAGCAAATCAGTGTCAGGACATTTCTATTTAGGACAAGCCAACAAAAAAAAAAAGCAGTGGAATTAGACAAGGATAACAAAGGGAGAACACACACCCAGCCGTAGCTGAAGCTGTGGAAAAGGTGTACCATGCATGCTAATATAAGGCACCATCTCCCCTGTGCTGGCCTGGCAGCGGCCAACACAAACTTCCATCTTCTCTCTCCCCTCTCACCACCTAAGGTACTTTCCCGTCTGCCTTAGGCTGACCTCTGGTGCTGGTATAGCCCAAAGAGCTGCTGACTTCACACTGGTGCAGATGAGGCCGTGGGATCATCAGGATGTTGGAGATCTTGCCCAGTGAGCTGTCATCAGAAGCCTGGCTCCTCACCTCCTCTGGGGGCAGCGTGCGGCTCTGCAGAGAAGGGCTGCATGAGACGTCATAGGAACTAGAGCTCTTTCTGGTACGACTTTCTCTCTCCCTCACAGACCTGCTGAAAATAAACAGATATGTCCAGTGATATGAAAAAGAGATTAATTCCTGGGTTATCAAGGGGCTTGAACAGGCCCAAGTCATGTAAGAGACTCAATACTCAATAGGTGAACTCAAGAAGAGGACTACAAGGAAACTATCACTATTTTTTTTACTATGTGGGTACTATATACTTTTGTGCATCGTACAATAGAAAAACAGAACATTAAAATGCTGCCAGCACGACAGCTGTGAAAAGAGCATGCTTGACTTTATGCAATTCTACAGACACCACACCAAGCTGGTAAGATCGATGTGATCTAGAAGATAATAGACCTAAGCCTACAGTGCTAGGAACACATAGCTATAGGGAAACGACTTGGAATTATTAACTACATTAAACTGTACTGGCATCTTCCAGCATGGATTTCTACAAGCTGCTCATATTAAAAAGCAAGTCTACATGCACAGCTTCCTCAGATTTAGACAATACTACTGAAAGGAGGAAAGCAAAAAAATACTTCAAAAGAAATTCATCAATTCCATATTCCTGAAAAAGCACTAAAATTTATAGGTTGTTCAATGAATTTGGCCAGGACCAGAGAATAATTAGCCTTTCTTCTCAGATGAAAGACTGTGGAATATTTGAGAACCTGCACTCAGCTTCTCTGTTTCTTCTCTCATTCAGAAAGCCATCATTTTCAGGGAAGATTCCCCACCACTCTGTTCAGCACCAGTTACTAAGCAGTACATCAACCTAATGCTATTTCTACAACTCTGTGCAAGTCTATTGTGCAAGTACTTTCTTATCCAGCTTGCAAAATCTGCTAGGAACTTAGCAAGGAAGACTAGCTTCATTCTACTTCAGACGAAATTAAAGATGTAAGGAAAAAGTATACTTATTCCTTTGCCTAGATGCCACGCGCTATCTTAGAAGTAAAATACCAGACAACCAGCCATAAATACTAGCTACAGATAAAGCTTTTTGTTCAACTGTAAGCACATGGAGCTTAATTCTCCTTGTATTTCTCAAAGCATTTTATGCATCAACCATAACATGGCTTCTCTAGAACTGGTACACTCACAAGCCTCTTACCTGAAAGTAGTACAGCGCTGGGCTCTGGATGGGCCTGGCAGTCTGAACACCTGGGCATCATAGCCATCATAATCTACCTGGATAGGCAGGGCATTCTCAGCATCTTTTGGAGCCCCTAATGCTGAAATAAAAGTCACATAGCACTGGAACCTCTTTCAAGAATGTTCGAGATCTGCAAGTATCCAACTCTCACTGCTAAGAAAACTGTCTATTCCAAAAGAAATCACATATAAAAGTCTCATGAGCAGTTCCCTCATGAGGGAATTGCACATTTTAAAGCCCCTTTGAAACAATGGACAGACTCACTTATAGAACATACACCTTCCTGAAACGAGGTGGTATTAGAAGAATGCAGGCATCTCCCACTGTAATTCTGTGGCCATAGCACTGACAACATCCCAAGCCAGTGAATGCCCTCCTGTCCTACTCCCACGAACAGTACCACTAGCACACCAGCCAGACACCATCTATTCCTCTAGCCAGGTGACAGGCAGTCAGGGCAGAAACTCACCCCTCCGTGTTAGTTATTTGCCAAGGTGGCAACTGACATATGCACATTAACATCCTGGATAATAACTATGTGCTTTTAATGGTTTTTGTCCCTTCCCACAACTCATCGGTAATGTTTTTACTGAAATGTCATTGTCTTACTACAGCTGTTTGTTAGTTTGGGAGTCAGTGGGATAGATCATTCCAGAACAGAATTACTTACAGGCATCTCGGTTATTTTTTGCTTTCTCAGTCAGTGGCTGGAAGGTCCAACAAAGGAAGTGTGAAGTGACATAAAAAAAAAAAAAATATGAAAAAAAGAAAAAGAGAGAGCAAGACAAAAGACAGAGACAGGGGAAACAGTCAGCATGTTCTAAGGAAATATCCCCCAGTGTGATCAAGCATCAGACTTAAAGTTTATCCTGCTGACTCAGTGAGGCAGACAGACCACTTCAGAAGTATTAAATACCAACAGGGGTCACAGACCTGTGTAAAAAAACACATCTTTGTCAACACCTTTCTTCCTCTCCATGAAGTTCTTCATTACAGAATGAAACTCTAATTTTTATGGTGGCTAGAACATTTCTCACCTGGTTTCATCCTAGAAAGGAAAGACCTACAAACTAGACCCTCATTCACAATCCCTACAACAATTATTACAGCTTTGCTTTCACTGTCTCTTAACACAGACACTTGGTTACAGCTGTTTGAATACTTGCTAGAAAGATTCTGATGCTTGGCTGAGAAAAGCTATCTGACAAGATAAATCAGAAAGATACCTACCTTCCTTCCTGCCAGCTTGATCCGTGGAGTGAAACTATTACACAGGAGCTGGCTTTTGGATGTGTAGAAACTGAAAGGAAAAACAGGGTGGCTCAGCTGTCTTCTAAGAATTGAACATAGTTGGTTAGCTCCACAGCAAACAGCCTGTGAATTTGAGCTTAGATGGAGAAAAGGGGATACATTCCTCTGCATAAGATGACATATGGAAAACACCGACAAATTATTAACTTGAGAGAAGCTACTCTTTCCTTAAAGACCAGCGTTTGATTTCCATACAGCCTCAGTCTGGACCTCTTAATATGGTTACATCTGCATTCCCCCATTCACTTCTTCTTTCTACAGAAAGGTATGCACTTTCACTGTCTATACATACTGTGCAGTTTACATGACTCTCTCCCTAATTTACATGACAATAATGACTCCCATCAGCTACTTGAAAACTACAGACCTCCTCCCATTTGAAATAATTTAGTCATTAAGATCCGTTTCTTGTTATCTGAATCTTTTAAATCCTGCCTTATTGTAAGCCTTCAAACACCTTTTTCATCTATGGCAAAGACCAGATGCCTTCCAGCCACTCAAAAATACTGGGTATAAGAAACCCATAAACGTTAATTGGTCAGGACAGTCAGTTAATGCATGCAGATAGAAAGAGGTATTAAAAGAGAGAAAAAAATAACCCTACACCAGAACAAGAACTGAAGAGGAAGTGGTAGTTTTCATCCTGACCCCTGATCTCTGTGTGTAGGGAAAGAAGAGATAGTATTACGGCACAGAACGTTTACCAGAAAGCAGAAAGGAAATCTATCACGTCTTAGAGTGAAGCAGTGTAACACCTCAGTGTTTCCTGCAACTGTTCCACCATTTATCCATATTATCCACATTTTCTCTACCTGTAACTCTCCATTTGAGATGTATTTGATTTTACTAAAAACCAATCTAGTTGAAGTGATTGTATTTTTTGTTTAGCTTCCTGACTTCCTTCCAGCACAGCTAAAGGCTAGAACTAAGTTAGCTGGAGAGAGAACTTAAGATCAAGACCTTTTCCTCTGCAAATTGCCTATCATATCTGACATGTTGCATTAATGCCCAGAGTTCTGCAAGAACATTCCTAATCCTGCAAGACTATTGTAATATATGTCTTTGCTTCACAAGGAGAGCAGAGGAAATAAACAATGAAAGAATAGAATTCAACAGATTATAAAGCAGAAGTGTTTAGCAAAGGCTGATAGAGTTCACCTACCTATGGTTTATCCAGTGTGGAATATTGTAGTCATCACCCAATCTGGAGTCACCAGGTCCACAGCGATTATGGAGCTGTAAGAGTAATTCAGAAGCATAGCAACTAGTTGTGTCTAGCTAGTCACAAAATCAGTAACATTTCTAGTAGGAGTAGAGAGAAGGGAAAAGAAGCATGCATTACCTTAAAGAGTGGTACAGCATGCAGTGGTTGTTCTCCCATGCACACCAAGTCCACACCTATCCCTGTAAACAAAGAACAGTAGAGTTCAGCTATGTACCAAGCAGGACTGATATACTAAGCCAAAACAGATCATCAACTTGAGCTGAAGGCCCAACTTGTATTCATACCAGATTTTAAGATGTAATTATATTGAAAATGGTAGTTAACAGTCCCGTGGTATGGTTACAAACCAACAGTGCCAGTGGGAATGTAAGAAATGTTTCCTCTAAACAAATGCAAGTCATGCAAGATTATCCTTTAAGGGAAAGGTCTGCATGGACAGATGAAGTTCTGTATCACAAACAAAAGAAATTAAATGCCTCCTAAGGTCTCCAAAAATCTGCCCATTTCAATATGAAGTGCAGACACAAGTCTCCCAACTGTAACCCCTCTTCCCAGAGTACACAAGTTACAACAGATACTTTTTCATAGCAAGGAAAGGCTAGAGCTTTTCCAAATATATCTGTTTGCCTTCATAAAGATTACACAGTATCACTAGTTATTTACCATTGTCTATCATCCGCTGTTTGGTTAGAATCATAAGGAGTCGATCAACTTCAAATACACCCACACCTGGTGTGATAACCACAGACATCTGGCCAGTCCGATCAAAGTTCCGGTTTATGTAATGCTTGTCAAACACTAAGAGAAAGAATTAGGGAATACTTTAAAAGAAAAAAGATGCTGGATGGTCGGGGTTTTTTCAGAGCAAAGGAGGTAGCTGTTAACAGTGGCATTAAACAAGCTTCCACAAAGCACATGCAAGCATGAGAGGGCTTGTATATAGCCTTGTCCAACCGATAAATGTTAATAAAGCTACAGGAGAGAGAGAAGTTAGGGCAGAAGAGAAGATGGGAACCAGATACATAAAAAGGAATATTTTTTCTCACATTCTTAGTGTTTCCTTTATAACATCTCAGAAAAAACCCCAAAACCAACAAACCCCAAAAAACCCCAACAAGGTAAAGTCCTTTACTAATCATTTAAATAACATCCTGTGCTCCCTCTCATGGAAGCCGTTAAGGTGACTGAACAACATCTGATGTACAGAATCACAAAAAGTATATCTTTGGAGAGCCCTTCCAGCCCATCAAATCCATCTCCCTGCTAAAAAAAGATGGATCAGGTTCACCTAAATCATGTTTGATCTAACCTGATTTTGAAATGCTTCCATAATTTAAAGTTTCAACTTGTACACCAAGAGGTTCTCATACAAATACACAGCTGGAAGAAAAAGTTTCATCCTGAGAAGGCCCTGTAAATGGTTCCTGAAGCCTGAAATACCCAATACTCAGTTATTTGAGAGCCACTGGTCTTCCAGAGACACACAAGCCAATTCTTTTGAGGCTGAAAATGATAACTAAACCACTTAATATTCCCCTCCTCTTCACAGTGTTAAGGAACAGGCAACAGAAGTCAACACCCATTTATTGGCAGCTGCTTTAAAGCTGTGTATTTAAAGCTTCCCCTGTGTATTTTTACCCATTGTTCATAACTTACCATTGAACGAAAGATTTATGGCCTCCAGGTAGTTCCCTTGTGCTGAGGTAGAATTGTAACCTGGAGGGAAGCCCTCTGGACAGGTGTTCAGAAGGAAAAAAAGAAAAAAATTATCACCTCTGTATAGACTAGCTTTAAAAAAAAAAAACAAAAACAAAACAAAGCAAACAAACAAAACCCCCAAACCAAAATAAAACTGCATTTGTAGTAAATCCCATCACTCCAACAAATTACAGGCAAAATTGGTATTGGTGTATCTCACAGAAAGACCCAAGCAAAATAGCCAAGTCAGGAGAGCACTAAGTAGTACAATACCAGACTCCAACTGAAACCAGAGAGTTTAGAGACAACTTTTTTAAAAAAAAAAAAAAAAAAAGAGAGAGAAAAGGGTAAAAGCATGGGAAAGGAGGATTCTTGTACCTGCTTGCTCTAGTCGTACTAACACAGGATACTGGATGAAAAGCTTTTTAATGGTCACAAGCAATGAGGTCCACTCTTCTCGTCTCTCATTCTGAACTACAACTCTACAAAGAGCACAACTTAATGAGGATCATGAAAGAAAGCTATGAAGAGGAAGCGAGAAGGAATGAACAAACTATAGAAAAAGGAATGCACAAAAAGGCGAGTGTCTCTTCCTTCTGCTAGGCAGCACATTAGAATTACTGCATACTTGTAGCAATCACTAAGGTGTAGATGTACACACAAAGCTGGGCACATGCCCAGCCAGAATAATTTCTCACTTCTAAATGGGTGATCAACTTCATGTATCAACTAGCAGCACTGTTCTGCAAAGCAGTAGGATTGCTACCCAGTCCAAGTTTAGAATCACATGACAGCTTCAACAGCTTCATCTGTTGTGACCATCAGCCAAACAGCTCCAGTACCTAACTGCAAACACTTCTGGTTTCAGCAATGGCACCATCTGTTCTTCAACTACTCAAGAATGTAAAGATCTGAAAAATAGCTAAGCCTTATGCAAAAACACTCCCAACACTACAGAACTTTTAAGTTTACTGACAATTCCAGTAGAGCACAGACAACACAATATTCACATGCACACGGAAGACTGACTTAGCAAATATGGGTGTGGACTCACTGATGGAATGGGGACTGCTCATCAATTTGCTGCCAATTTCAGACATAGATGTTTTTCACTGTCTTAATTCTTTGCAAGGTCCTACAGTTACTAACATGATATTCTCCACATGGGTTGCACATATACTGTAGGACAAGAGGTAAAAGAACTGGGAGGAAGACATACTTGTAAAAATCTTCATAAAATCTTCCCTCATGATCCTGCCGAATTGACGTACGATGTGATTCAGGAAACTCGTCTGAAACAGAAGCAAAAGCACGTATTATCCCATGCTTTTGTATAGAAATGACTCATCTTTTCTAGTAAGAAGCTATTATTTCCATTAAAAAAAACAACAAACAAACAACAAAACCACTTTGAGAAATATCAGATCTCCTACACAATATTAAAATTGCTTTTAAACCAATATGACAGCTTGAGTATGATGAGGAAAATTTGCCATATATTCTTCTACATAAGGTTTTCATTGCAGTACTTTCATAAGAATGGCTGTGTATCCACTGTGCTTGGTAGGGAATATCCTGGACAAGGGCATTAAAAAAACACCAAAAAGGGAAAAAAGTCACTGGCAACCTGTAACCAACTTTAAAGAGAGAAGGAGATGGGTTTAAAAACAGAAACATGAAAATACAGAATTTACATACCTATAGATTTTGCTTCATAAAATGTTCTAGAAAATAGAACCACTGTCACTTCATGGCTGCAATTCTTCTCCTGTCCAGGAAAAGCAGATGAAAAAAAGAAAACCTTAAGGGTCACATTCAGTAGAAAACTGTGTATATACACATACGGTAACACCCTGCTTCCCCTCACACCTAGGGCCAAAGGTAACCAGAAAAAGGCAGACTGCTGTATCAATATACCTCCATGAGTGCTGCATGTGCCTCTATGAAATAACATAAAAGTCTGTCCTGTAGATTCTGTGCTTCTAGGCTATATCACATTTAACAGGAGCACTCTCCACCAGTCTCTAAAGAAACTCTTCTCTGTAGTTGCCATGATAAAACATTTTTGTTTAAAAAAATAGTTGACTTAATTTGTTTATACATACTCATGGCAATTTGATATTCTTATTTGCTTCTGTTTAGAGAGATGCCCCTAACAATTCCAGAGATATTAAAACTTCACTAAACAGTTACAGTGCTAATGCATGCAATGGAATTAGGCTGTAAAGAGCCCACTGACCATCCCCTCGAAAGGAAAAGCTTGAAAAACCCCATGAGCCCTGGCATCACTCAGGTCCATATTCAACATTTTATAGTAGTACTAAAAGTGAAACACGCATTTTACAGACATCTCACGCAGGGCTCCCAATAACTCTCCAAGGAACGAAAAGCACAATGAAAATGAGACAAATCTGTTGGGCACGCTCCTGCTCTCCTTAACATTCAGGACCATCATGAGCTGCACTATGCATAGATGTTACACATTTAGGATTTCAGACTCTTTTGCCTTGTCTAGCTGTTCTTTCAACTGAGGTTGCAGAATTTATATATGCCTTTTTTTGAGTACTGATATGGTTCTCTCAAGTCAGTGGAAGTCTGCTGCAGGACTGCTAACAGCAGTTAACCTGGCTCTGAGCTAGGAGACAGCTCTGGGTTGTTCACTGTAAGAGGTAGTAAGGCTTTGTTTTTGAAGCAATTCGCTTTCAAGAACACTGCACATCATCAGTGGCCCACATGCTACAACCTGGAACCCCTCATGCTACAAGACTGCAGCACTAAACAGATTACATACACACTGTACCAGGGAAATATTCGGAACCAAGTCCCAGAACAAATAAAATTGTGTCAACCAGACTTGCGCATTACCGCACAAGCACAAACAACTATATCACACATTTAGTGACTTTAGTGCAGTCAAAGCCTCCACACAAACAAATTGCATGATACAAACACAGCATATACAACAGATCAGTACTGGGGTCACTCGGCACATGTATGATCTAATGCAGACCTGCAGTAACCACTCTTTTGATGCCCAGGAGCCACCTCTCATAGTCCTGTAAATCTTAGCACTGCCTGACACAAGCTGGGTCTTCCTCAAACTGGCATATCAGTGGGCTCATTAAGATGGCATTGACTTGTTCTTTCAGAACAGGATGAATTCAATCACCTATTTACCTTCCATTTTGTGAAGAGGTCAGCAAGGAAACCGTTCACAGCTTTCTCAAAGTATAGGTCCCCTGCAAAGTAAACATCTCCAAAGCATCAAATAACAGCAGTTACTTCAGCTATGGGGTATATTTAACCCTGAAATTGTAGGACAATTATTTTTATTAGAATCAGAGCAGCTGTATGCATAAGGAATGCTAAGATCACTAAAGCAAAGATGATAAAAAGATTAAAAAGCATGACTATGTTTCAGAGGATGTAAACAAGACTCTTAACGTCAAAAGCATCTGACCTTTAAATTCATTTTTCCAACACATACGCAGCACGCTGGGAAAGCATCTGTACTATCTTTTAGGCATAGTATGCACAACTGATTCCCTGCTCAGTTTTGAATAGTTGCCCAGTTGCATATGCCCAAACACATGGTCAAAGGAAGTGGTAAGAGGTTTGCTAAAGGATTAAGCCAGAAAAAAAGGAAAAAAAGATAGGACAGTGACACAGATAAGTGACTCATTCTTAATGCCTACAGTTTTAATACTTCTAGTTGACTCTACAAGGGCTAAGGCAGGGTTTTTGCTTCCTCGCTAAGCCAAAGTCAAGAGAAATCTAAAACATCAAGGTCCTCTTTGCACAGGACTTCCATACATTTCTGGTTTCAGGATTCACACAGGTATTCACCTGCCCTCACCACCAAACATGTTCATATCCACAGAAAACCTTTCCAAGGTTCATAGTCAGTTGTCCCACTTGATTTTGTCACTGAGCTAACAGTACCCAGGCCCTACAGTAGGGACAGGAAAATTATGGAATACCCAGGTGACATAAAAGCAAATAAGGATCTAATAATGCACCATAGTGCACCTCGGAGCACTGCATAGGCCAAAGGCAGGATATTTTAGCTTCCTAGTAGTGGCAGAAATAAATAGTTGTGGCAGTTTTCCAGTAGGGGCAGAAAGGATAGCTGCTGCCATCCACATTCACAATCAGGGAGGTCAGTTACCTACATACCATAAATATCAAAATCCCACATTTCACAGCTCATCTGGATAAAAATATAAACCATGGCAGAAGTGGAGCGGAAGACTACCTGCAAAGGAATGAAAGATCTTATTTAAAACAAGGTACATTCACTAAAAGGGCCAAATGCAGAAGTTAACTACAGAGCAACTTTTATTACTGTGCCCACTGCATCATACGGAATTTACCCTCTAACAAGCTGGCAGTTCAACAGCCTGAGTAATTCCTAGTGCTGCCAGCACAGAAGAGTTAAACTTTACTAATCATTCATTCTCCTGAATTTATTGCCATTCTTCACCTTACAATACATCCAATTCAAATGATCCATACAAATCTGCAAGCAAGAGAGAATTACAAGAAACCCAACAAGGAAACGAAGTGAAAGAACTTCCTTTCCTCTGCTCCCTGAAATCTTACCCGAGTGTCCTCACTGATGTATCCACAAGTGACTTTCTCACTCTTTACCCACAGTTCACCTGCCTGCGCCCTGGAAGAAAAGGAGTGCAGAAAATTTGCTAACCAGAGTGAATATGAGGATTAGAGAATCAGTATTTGAGCAAATAAGGGATGTACCAAAATCTGCATTCAAGGATGACTTCAAGACAGAGTAAAAGTTTATTTGGTTAAAACCTGATCTTTAATCCAAAAGATGCCAAACAGCCATTTCCATCTGCATCTGCACAGTTCCTTGTCCCTTTGTCATCTCAACAGTAACTGAAGTAACACTCATCTGAGCTATTAATACATCTTAGGAAGGGGCAAAATATTATAAGAGGTAAAAGGAAAATTATTTGGCATTCATCAGAGGCAAGTGTGGCTGGCCGTCCTACTATTAGTTTCTTCCACCCCAAATCAGATAGAAACCTTCCCCCACCTCATGGTGCAGACAGACATCTGTATAAGAGTAAGAGAACAATAAAACATGAAGAATTTTTCAGAGTAGATACTCCAGTTGGATACTCTGGACCCATTAATCTAAAGTCATAAGTAACAGTAAGCCCTCAGAGGAGGCACTGACCTGATACCTGCAAATTCAACTTTTTGGGTGACATATGCACATGTGCTGACCTAAGAAAGAATAGTTACAGGTGTTAAAAGAACAGTAGGCTCAGAGTGAGCAGACCAATTTACACAAAAAAAACATTCAAGCTCAAACACCTGACTTCTGCCATAAAATCATGAAAACCACTTGGCATATTTACTACTACTATCTCAGCCTACAGAACCTCTGCAACAGACAACAGAAAATAGTTTTTAACACATATGAACTTTTATTGGGTTCACTTGCCTAATTCACTGTGCTTAGAAGAGCCAAAGACTGCACTTCAGAGATAGAGAAACAAAATATTCTAATAGTTGCTTATTAAGCAGTGCTATTGGAGAGGAGATACTTTAGCATACTTCTACTTGAAAAATATTTGGATTCAATTCCTACCAAATGTAGTAAATCATTAAAATTCGGAACATAAGAAAAAAAAACCTCTCAACAGCATTTTCAGTGCCCAAGGCAGTAATTAACATTATGGCAATGGAGTAGGAAATGATGGGATTAATTTTTTCTGCAACACATTTACATCCATTTAGAAAATGGTATCCTGATGTACCATTTACAGCATAAGTTCCTCAGGAGCTGCTGATAGTGGTCTTGTCCTCAGTTTTCTGTATTTTGTAAAACACTTATTTTCTTTTACAGCAAGCAAAGAAAAAGGCAGGTAATCTCCATCCTACACATGAGGACAGCAGAGGCCTTACCAAACTTTTCTTCAGTCGCCACATATCCCCACGCCCAATATACTGATCTTTAAAAGTCAGCTCCACCAAGTCCAAGGTCACCTCCTGGGAAACAGGAGAAAAATAGTGCTTAGATTTTACTGGTTGTTTCTAAGTAGCACCCTTCAATCTGTTCCGGTAGGAACCAAATGTTACAGGGAAGGCCGTTCTAAAGCAAGTCAATACTCCTAACAGAAGCAAGATAAAAGGGAAGTCACATCAGAATAACTGCCAAAGTTGCGGGTGTACCTGGAACTACTGTGAGCTGCAAGACACTGCACAATGTGACCAGAAAAAGCCGAAGGACACAATCTGTGCTACAAGTCTTAGTGCAGATTGGAAGCACAAGTAAAACAAATTATTTCCATTGTTCATGACATTACGGAAGCCTTGTTTCCTGCAGATTTTTGTCTTGTGCTGAATGTAAGCACTGACTGAAGCTCTTTTGATAGCTGGGACATTTACAAGATATGCCTCTCTGGTGTCAAATAATGTAAATCCATGACATGGCTCTTCTTTTGGCTAGGCCACTTACTGTTTACTCTGCCTGGTTATCCTGAATTTCTGGAACTTAAAGACATTTGAAATTTCTAAATTTCTATCAAGCTGTGTTGAAGCTGGTCTACAGACTTCAAAAAGAGAGCAGGGATGGTAGGGAGAGAAGAAAGAGACACATAACAAACAAACAAGCAGTTCAATTGCCCAAGCCTCATTTTCTTAGGAAAGAAGGCTAAATACATTTCAATAAAAAATAAAGGCCTTTTTTTCCAATACTACTGTAGATGGAAATTCACATGGCTCTGATTTGAGCTAAGTGAGGGACAGATGGAAAAAAGTTGCAAAGCCACACACCTTTGGGTCAACAACATTCACATGGACATCCTGGTATGGCCGCAACCGGAACACTTGTGCAACTGTCTGATCCACACTTATAGTTTCTGCCACAAAAATGAGAAAGGACAACAGAGAAGTGAACATCCCCCAAAAGTTTCAAGTGGTTTACAAATACAAAAGCAATACAGTGAGACTGTCATTAAACACTTAGGGCCTCAGCAAGAGACAACAGCTTCCTTCAGCTACGGCCCAATTCAAGAGTCATTAAAATGAAAGCAGGCGAGATAAACTCAAAGTTTAGGCTGAATTAATTCTTGCAAGAAGAAAAGATACAAAGCTAGTCAGAGAATGCAGAAACAAAAAATTAAGGCTAAAAAGCCAATTTGGTTTAAATTATACCCCACATTACTAAATCAAAAGCAGATTTTTAATTGGCTATTCACCTTCTGATAAAATTATAATCTTTCCTTTCCTAAATACACAAAGCATTGATTTTCTTACAAAGGTAAAATACACGCATTAGTCAATCACAGGTACAGCCCAATCACATAATCTTTGTCTATGATTTTACTATGCATACTATGAGTCTAGAGTTTTACCTTTCTGCAAATCTTCCTTAAGTGACTTCACTTGTAGAAGCAGGGGACTAGCATGTGAAAAAGAAAAAAGATAGACAAGGTGAGATACCAACAGTCTACTCTGGTAAATCACCCTCTCAAAACTGTTTACTAACATGGAGCATGGGATAAGCTAAGAGAAACATTAATTTTTTCTAGAAAGTTTCATACATCATCCTCCCTGCCTGTCACCCTGTCTTGTTCTTTACACCTATTATAAGTTACTCTTTAGGTGAAGATGATACTCTAAATGGGAAAGTATGTCACACAGGAACTTCTCAGAACCTCATACAAGTACACTGGTACTTTTCAGATACAGGCTGCAGGATGAACAGCTTCATATAAGAACGTTTATATTTTTATAGCTGACCAGGAAGTTTTCATTTTGCCTAAGATATACTACAGGACAGAAGAATAATCTCATCAGGTAAAAGCAGCTCGATGAAGAAGATAAAGACATTGTAGATTCTATGTTCAGGTGCTACTTGCCCTATGAAAGGTCAGCAAACTAACAACAAACACAAACAATTCCATAAACTTTAAGGAAAAGCTCCTGCTATAGTTATCCCCTCTACTTTTCTTCAGGCAGGAAAAAAAACCATGGCAGCATCTTGAAGCAAAGGTATATCAGCTCTAAGAGCCTCTTGCTTGGGAAGCCGCTGCACATCAACATGCCCTTTCAGTACTCTAACCACACCTGATAGATATCAGCAAAAAGAGAATTCACCTGTATTCATCATTGGGATGTGCAATTTCCACAACATCTCCCAACTTGATTTGAAGAAATACTTTAGGATTTACCACCAGTTCATCATCTACAAGACATAAATGAATGAGGAAAACTGCAGTGAACAGATATATACCAAACACAGATGCTTGCATGTTCGTATGCAATAGCTTACTCTACATAAATACACTAGCCCAGGATTAACATGTCAGCAATGTATTGTATTCACTACATGACACTGCCCCTACCCAGCCACTTCAGTCTGGCCGCTCTTGTGGGGAAAACTTCTCTTTCAAATGACAGAACTTTCACAAAAGATTTGTTCAGCAAAAGAGCATGCCTCAATTAGGCAGGCAGAATCATATTTTGTATTTTTCATATAAGAAACACCAGCAGGAAAGTAGATAGCTACAGAATCTTAACAAGATTCATTAACATGCTGTAAGTCTAGAAGTAGGGAGCAATCAAATAAATGACATTGTTCTTAGTACACAGAAACACACCTACACACAGTCATAAGTCACTGACATGTCTGTCACGTACTAGGGTGACTGAAATACAAGTTTAAAAGAAAAGCAATGCAACCAAAGGGGAAGAGGTAGAATAAAACAATTTTATTTTTTGGGTGCAATCTCGTTCTGTTCTGACAAATGCAGTTTCATTCTGCTGTACCTTGCTTTTAAAAAAGAGCTTTCCAAACTCTGGCTGGTAATACTGCTTGTTATATCAAAGTTCCACCTTCACTGTTTTGTTAAAAAGATCAATAAATCAGTTAATTGCTTTCAGTTAAGTAAGAGAGTGCTAGTCTCACTGTTATGAACCAGGAGATACTGACCACTGCCTCCAAAACCCTTCTTATGTATGACGAGCTTGTACACCTTGTTGGTTCTCATCTTGAATTCCAGTTCTTCTCAGCTGCTTTGAGTAAAAACAGTTGAAGACATCTTGCATATCTAATATAGAAATGAAAGCAAACACAGATCTCTCGTCATTACAAAACCATTCTTTAGACTCTGTGCATGAACAAAGAATGTTGTACCACCCCATAGCCAAGAACGCCACCCCTGAAAGGCAGGCACATTACAAAGTTTAATAAACGTCAGACTAAAAGTTTAGTAATGACCTCTTCTACCAGCCTCCTGTCAGAGAGCTAGTACCACTCTCTAGAATCACATCTTTCATATTTCAAGGATAAACTCTGAACCTTGTGTTAAACGCATTAAAACAAATACCCAGACTTATGCCCGCTGCCAACTATATCTCCTGATTTTGTCATTCCATCTCTTTCACATGTCTTTCCCACGACTCCCAAAGATGCTGGGATCCACAACCGGACTGATTTCACAGCAGCGCAGCAGAGCTGTACCCAGCAGAGGGCAGCGGTACAGGGCCAAGCAAACACTGGGGGCACCGGTGTGCATTACTTTAACTGCATCATTTTTTTCTTCCTGGCACTTTCATTTAACATAAAGCATATTTCAAAGGAGGACCTTTAGTTTTACGATTTACTCTTTTTAGAAGTGCGTTTCAACTGGAAATTATCAGTAGGAATAAAGCTATGGCCACGTTAGTAAATTAAAATACAAGCTCTTCTAGTCATAACTGTACTCTTACAGCAAATGAAAACTCAGAGGAACTTAGAAGTATGCCTTTCAACAATACTCAAGTATTAAGCTCGCAGATGCGCTCTTCAGAAAGCCGATTCAATTACCGAGTTATGAAGGCATGGTGGGAAAAAAACCCGCACATCCGAAGTTTGTGAAAACAAACTCTGTAAAACCTTCGAACTTGGGATTGACGTGGGTCTGGAAGGATCAGACGCTCGGCTGCAGCGTACGACGGCAGGACTCGCACCGAGGACGGCGCGGGGACGCAGGGCCGGCAGCGTACTGCCCCGCACGGGGGGGAACGGGGAGACTGAATAAACCCGATGCGTTCCCAGCCAGCTCTCACGCTCGCTAACCCTGCTATGGAAACGCCTGCGTTCCTTCAGTTGCACATCTATAAAATGAGTTAGAGGAGTAAAGCGAGGGGCCCGAGTTTCCCCCCCCCCCCCCCCGGAGCAGCTCCTAGGGGCGGTCTGGCAGCGGCGGGGCCCGGCGGGGGCCGCCACCCTCCGGGGATGCGGTACCGCAGAGCGAGCAGCGCGGCGACCCGCGCCAGAGCCCCGGCAACCCCAGGGGAAGGGCGGGGGGAAAAAAGGGGGGGGGGGGGGATGCGCGGAGGGAGCTCGGACGCCTCAACGCTCCGTGCCGCCGCGGGACTGAGCCAGCCGCCGGTAGCAGCGCCGCCAGGGCCGGCTTTCCTGCGGCAGAGCCCGAGCGCAACCCCACCCCTTACAGTCGGCCGCGGAACGAGCAGCGGGGACCCTAACCTCCCGGTCCCGCGTCTCCCGCCGGCGACCGACCTCAGCGGCACCGTCCCGACGAGATTTCCACCCCCTCCCACCTACGGGCGACCACTCGCTACTTCCGCATCCGGGGGCCGTCAAGGGGCCAGCACGGGGCGCGCGTCACGTGAGAAGGAGCGGGCCGGGCCAACCCCTTTCGGATTGGCGGTCACGGCGGGCGGGGCCCCTACTGAGGGACGGTGGGCGGGGCGAGGCGGGGCGGGGCGAAGCGGCGCGGCCGTTGGCGGGGGCGAGGCCACGGCAGCAACAACGGCACAACGGCTGCGTGGGCCGGGCGCGCGGTCCGCGCGAGCTGAGCGGCGGGCCCGGATGAGGAAGTGATGTTGAGCGGAGAAGGGGGGCGGCGCGGCGCGGCACGGC